GGATGAAGCAGTTTGTGACACACAGACGACAAAGTTCGGCCTTTGACATTTTTTTTCACCACAGTTCACAGTTCTTTGTTTTTTAATAATAATAATGTGTTCTTGGTTGCTGGTTTGATTGCTGCTTTTTGAAATGTAACTGTTTGAAACATAACCTGCATTTATATATTGTGTATTAACCCATTAACAGCAGGATTTTAACAGATCGCAAATGGGCTTTTAGAGACTAACAGTGTGGCTAGTGTGAGTAAGACTTGCCAAAAGGATGTAAAACATGTTTTTCTTTTTTTAACCAAGAGCTATCACTGTTCCTTCATCTGTCATTTTTACCTTTTTTAGCACATTTTTGCTGTACTAAGATGTAGGCGACATGTTCTCTGGAGAGATAACATCCAATTACTGAAGACCCTCCCCCTCTCTACCCAGTAATTTAGACTTCTGTCCCTGCAGCGAAAAGAACAATGAATAACACTCCCCCTTTTCTGAATCTCCCTCCACCCTAATAATTTTCACACAGTCCCTAAGTTTAAGCATTTATGTCCTGTGTTGTGTTACAAATTCAACACCTTATTTGTGTTATGTGCTATTAATATTTACTATCTAGCTATACTTTCACTTTTTCCCCATCAGAAACAGCTACATCTCTCTCTTTACCCTCATTCTCCCGTAATGACTGTAGATACTTACATTTAAATGAGCTGACGTCAGCACATCCTGAATCTCTTCATATGAATATCTGCTCCAGGCACAGCACACCCACAAAGGCAAACTACGGCCTTCGTGGTAAATGTCTGTACATGGGCTCTTAAAACAGTCTCCTCGAGTACTATTGTAGGTGTTTAATGTACTCTATCATACACATGTTGGACAGGGGGATATTATACTGTCATTTGGTGACATCAGAATATTTTACTAGCTCTGTAACCTGTAGTACTTCCTTACAGCATAGGTTTTCCAGTTCAGTTCCCCCAAACGGCAACCTTCAGGGCTGAAAAATACAGCCAACGAGGACATGCAGTTCCTCAAATGGCCACTTGAGGCAGACTCCAGAAGCGAGCCAATCCCTACAGACCCACCATGCTGAAATGGCAAACTTAACAGCAGAAATAAAAAATGTCTACAACCTGGTCACAAAATAATTTTGGTCTCTATAACTAATCTAGTTTTTTAAGACAACTGTACAGGAGAAGAATTTTCATCTAACTGACTGATTTAAATTGTATTCAGGCTGAAAGTTATGCATAATTAAGAGTAACAGGTGGGTGCCATCAAAGGACGGTCTATGGCCGCCTCAGCTCTATTCCCACTTGCTATTTTTTTGGTTTAGCTGGGAGTTAGGCAGATTCAAGCATTGTCAACCACCACACCGAGACTCAAAACCACTGTTCAGTGCAATCCCAAATAAAACTTAGGGCTAATAAACCCTTGTAGTCATTTAGAGGTGCAGTTGTATGTTCTTTTTTTGATGGGAGCTATGTGTACTGTGCAAAAAAGGAAGGGAGCACCATGTTCTGCAGACACGTCGCTTCCACTTGCAACCTCTTCCTGATAACTTTCTCCAATTGCGTTATGAAATAACCGAGCGATTCTCTGTGAAAATGCCACAGAGTTCAGTGGTGCCTTTGTAAAAAGCTGCTCTTTTATTAGGATTTCAGCTGTGGAGCATGGAAGGGGTACTCCAGTTGTTTTTGCCTTTTTTGAATGAGATACCAAATTTAGAAAGTTCAGTGAGGATACAGAAAGATTTAACGATGGAGCGCTTGGCCCATCAAGACTGTGGAAGGTCATAAGAGCAGTGTGGCCAGTTATGGGACCTGTCCACTGAAGATGTCTGACAAGTTGAATTTTATCCATCTGGATGCCAGATAAGCACCCACACACACAGTTTATTTAGCCTGATTAGTAACTTTGACACTTTGGACACATAAACACATCCTAAGACTGCCCTTGTAGATTCTCAAATCTCAAAAAGGGGCATTGAAGTTGAAAGTTCCAACTTTAAAAAGACGCACTCTTTGTTTTTTTGCTTTTTTAAAAAATATTATTTGAGTTGGTACTTCAAGAAGCTCTGCTTTTGTTTTTCTTATTTCAGTGTCTGTTACATATAAAAGTTGCTGTGCTGTGTAAATTGTACATGGCTGAAGGCGATAAAATTGTCAACTGTTTGCCTCAATTTATTTTGTGACTCACACAGAGCAAACTGCTCTCAAACCTAACTAGATGTTGGTGTCTCTATTACCAGTGATACATCAGGAAACCTATAGCTGAATGTTTGTCTATTATTATAAACATTCAATTATTTCCCTACATGTATACCAATTAAAATTTGTGATTTAAAGACCAATTCCTCTGTTCTGTCGTACAAGAAGCTGGTATTGGTCATATTTACCATGCATTGGATTGAACTGGAACTAGACTCTAACATGTATGAATGCATTTTAGCCATTTCCTGTCTAGAATGCTACAATATGTTGTTTAGCGGGTTTACAGTAATTTAAAATGTTTGTTGGAACTTACACAGCAGCAAGAGGATGAGGCGTTGCTCACAAGCGCTGGATGCTGCAGGCTTCCTGAAGTTGGCCAATCAGAAGTGAGCTTTTAGAGATACAAATCTAAACCCAGAGCTAATATTGCCTATTTCAGGCAAAATGGAAAGACACATAGCTGGAACTATGTGTTGCAAAAGGATTTTTTTTTTGTTTATTTATTTATTTATTTTTTTTAAACTGTGAATCATGCAAAGCTACTCATTCAAAAAAATAGAACTGGAAATGAGCAGAGCAGGTCTCCTTTAACATCATGTCTCTCCATGTGCTGATGGATGTCGATAGGTACTCCACTTCAATCGGGAGCGTTTTCTTTTAAAAGGAGGCAGATAGTGGCTGACAGGGAGCTCGACAGTGCGCTGTCACTCTGCCTTCGCTCCTCAGGAGGTAGATGTCTTCAGAGTGGAAGTCAATAGAAGGATTTCACAGTTTTTGTGATGACTTTTGGAGGAGGAGGGCTGTAAAATTTAAGGCAATGGAGGGAGATGGGCCACTGCCTCGGCACAGTTTAATTAAACCCTTAGAGACTTCCCCTGCATGGGAACAGGGGCCAAATGAGTTGCTGGGTCATGTGCATGCGTCCTGCCACATGAATAATACAAAACACTGCGGGCTCATTCAAAATAATCGGAGAATAGTGCTCCTTCCAGGGATCTGCACATGTGACAGGAAAATCCAAGTGTGTTTTGTTCTTGCTTCTATTCAGCCACTGTGCTTGGAGAGCAGTCGGTAAAGATTCAGGAATTAGACATTTGGCAACAAAGAAGAAATATATATGTTCATTAGGCGCATATACTGTAAGCATTTGATGCTTATAGTATACGCAGTAGCCACGGTTCATTTGGTTAAAGCTGCTGTAATCAGCATCTTTATATTTACAATGGTTAAAATGATTATGAAAGGGTTGCTCTTAGCCCTGAGAGAATTATCACTCAGCTCTGTCTTTCAGCTCGTGTTTAGTTGTGGATTTTGGTTCTTCACTCAAACTGGTAAACAACTGAAAAACTATGCTACTGCGTTGGTGATATACAAAAGCTTCGCAGACATTTATCCACCTGTTGTAGCTGTGTGCTGGCACGTAGGGGCAACGTCTAACAAGAGGACCCTTTTTGATTCAGGACAACCTTCAGCTACAACTGTAACATGCTGCTGACACACTGATGCTTCAGGTTTAATAATCTAATGTAATAAATAATAACACATCCGTCAGACGAACCAAACAGTACTCTTACTTTAATGCTTTAACTAAATGTAGTTGTTGATACTGATGTACTCTCACTTAAGTCAGATTTGTCATGCAGGACCTTCACTTGTAATGGAATATATTTTTGCATTTCTTCATCGCTCTCTAACTTCGGTAAAGACTTTAATAGACTTTAATTTCTTCTACCACTGGAAAAAAAATCATCACTTTTCAAAGACAAATTGTGCAAATTGTCCGGTCAGGCCGTTTTTACTGTTCATTCGAAAAAGCACCCATTACAAATAGCAAAAAAATAAAACAATGCTCCTGGGTTTTTGGTTTTCTCAGCCAAAAAATGTGAAGGTTATTTTACACAGCAAAGGAGATCTTTACTGTTACAGTTTCAACTGTGCGAACAGTAAAGAGGAAGTGCCGACCACAGAATCCATCCTTATTATTATTTTATCTTTACTTCACACCTATTGTACTATAAAGGGATTTCCCTCTTTATAAACACAAGCCATATAAAGTGGCCTTTTGGCAGCATAAAAAGCAACGTTTTAATTCAAGGACCATAAAAAGCAGCAGTTTTTAGCTTTCCATAACTGCGATAGTTGAATTCCCATAAACCATCTCAAGCCACTGAAAGCTACCTGACCAGCACACAACAGGAGACAAATAAAAGCACATGGCTGCTAAACAATCAACATTTCCTTGTGGAGTAGGTGGAGACCAAAACAGAGCTACAAAGCCAATGAACTTACATTTGACAAGTTACCTTTAGGACACAAACTGATTCAACTTAATGAATGATCTGAATGTGCAAATAGGAATTCTAACATCAGCCTCATAAGGTGGCAATGCATCAATGTCCGCAGTCTGGTTTGCTATTTCATCATTTATGATAACTTACAAATATATATTATGTTTTTCTGGAGACTTTTAAAGGTTTTTAATCAGACTTTTGTGCCCAGTACCTCGTTTTTTGCTCTGCCGTAGTGACGAGCTAACAACATTACTGTCACTGATGGATCAGGATTAACAAAGCCCGGGTTCATTAGAGCTGAGAGGTTCTGCCACCCTTCATTTTAAACGTCTGTTTTGTAGTGTTAGTAGTAAGAAAAGTGTCCAATAATAAACCCAGAGGATCTACAGAAGTATTTAAAGCTTTCAAACTTCTAGCAGCTATAGGTGTTCCTGAGATAAAGCAATGTTTGTATGACATACATTGGAACATAACATACGATGCAATACAATACGAAGTTCACTACTTTGGTGAAAAGGTTTTTCTTTAAGCATTTAATGGTAAGAGTCCATAAAAAATGAACATTTCTCAGACATTTCCACATTTTCACTCACAGTTATCATGAGAACAATCTGTCAAGGACAAATCAGATGAGGGAAACTGCTTTGGGTTTTTTTTTTCTTTCTGTGTAAGAAATTTTTACAAAAACACCCATAGAAGGTTAATGTGTTGCTGAATCTGTTTGATACAAAGAACCCTATAAAAAAAAGACTTTGAGAGGGATTAATTGTGAGTTTTCACTCTGTGGAAGTGGAGGTAAATGAGCGGATAACGTTATTGAGCAGCGCTCATGTAGGAGTGAGCGGAACATGTTAATCTCTCGGCAGTAAAACTCACTCTTCAGTGCTTTCATTCGGTTTTACTCTCACATTCCCCAGTTATCCCTCTTCCTCTTTGTCTGTTTTGAAAGAAGGCTCCACTGAATAGCTTGACCTTCACTTATTCTCACATGCTATACAGTATTAGTGCGGTAATTTTCATGCTTATCACAAACAAGGTTGCTATGGTAATTCCCCTTCCACCTGAACCCCTTCAAACACAAGAACACGCTCTCAGATCATGCTGTAAAAACTGGAAAAGTCCAATCATAAGAGATTAATTTAAGTTCTGAATGCGCACTGTACATCCACGGGGCCCACCCGCAATAAATACAGCAACAGCTAAGCTACCAAAATGTATCTCAGACAACACAAAACATCGAAGTGAGGTCTCTGCAGGCTACTGTTTGGCTGATGAGGCAGGCAGGCAGGCAGGCAGGCAGGCGCTATGCTCTGTGCTGCAGCTGATAGACAAGAGGAGATATGGTGCAGCAGTGGGGCTGTTGGGCCTCTGATACATAGCCACGATGAACTAATGCCGCATATGATTGATGGCATTTCTGCCAACAAATATTTATGTGTGTAAGTGTTTAAAAGAAGGCACCAAGTCCACCGAACCGAGGGAAGAGCCGAGGAGCTCTTTTCTTTTTGGAGTCTGCCTCCTTTATCCACATTTTCTTCCTCTTGTTGTCTGTGTGTCCTGCAAAATAAGAGAAAAATATCATTACTGTTGAATACTAATCAGTGCCACTTTAAATAAGACACCATTTGTTTAAGGTTTATAAACTGTAACTGGTGGTTTAGTAATGTTAAAAAATAACCACTTATTAATGATTTATAGGTCACTTAAAAGAATTGGTCCATTCAAAAATAACAAAATCCACCAAATAGCACCTCCAAAGCTCAATAATTAACACACTGTATGTAGGAGCAACTAAAGCAACACTTTGCTTTGATATGGACGGGTATGTGCCTGGAAGGAAAGTATATAAGTGTGTTTTTTACTAAAGTCAAGCAAAGTCAAAACTTTCTAAGAAGCTATCATTAGTTATTAATAATTACAAAATGTGTCATTCTGGTGCGTTGCTATGGTGATTCCAGCAACATGTGCACATCAAAGTTTAACTGTGATCATCTCCTTAAAGTGGAAACAGACAGCTTTTCAAGTTTTCTCTTCGTAGTGGTTCCAAGCAGTATTACAGTTCGCGTCACTTTTTCAAAGACCTACACAGCTTTCCATTTTCCTTAAAGAGAAAATCAAGTCTAACGTAGCCACTGTGTCTGTGCTGGAGAATGGTCTGACTGCACCTCTTATCAAAGAGCTCTGGCTTGCTTGTATTTAGTTAAACCAATCACAGTCATCTTGGGCAGTGCTAAGCCCAGGATGCAGAGATGGTGGCCCTGCAAAATACTGACATTTGCATGCAGGGAGGCAGACATTTTGGAAGACTTGCACAGTGATGGCAGAAGGGAAGAAGAAAGCTACGTAAAAATGTGCAGCAAAAATAACGCTGTCTACAACCAGCGAGTCAGACTACAAAACACAGCAGCGTAGCTACAGTGGGGGTTGACATCAGGGTGAAGGAAACGTTATGAGACAAAGTGTGAGAAACAACCGTAAGAACACCAATTTCAAAAATCACTATCTCAGCGCTCTGAGGTGCTTAGAGGCAGACTAAAGGACCAGGTTGTATTAATAAGTTCGCAGGTTTTGAAAGTCTATTTGGAGCTTTCTCAGAGCTCTCTCCATGGATTGACTTTCCATCTGAGGTTCATTCTTGTTTTACCACAGTTTCTAGCTTTGCCTCCTCAGACATTTGGGTTTTTATGTCGGTAGAGTTTCAACAGTTAGTCCAGTTGTTCCATCATCCAATATTTCGCTACCTGGGTATATGATGCGGTTAATCAAGCCTTTATTTTCCTGCTGGAATTGAAGAGTAAAAGCAAGGCTTATTTGGAACCAATCTTAACACTGACGGGGTCATTATTCTACAGCCATTACACTGTGCAATCAACAGTTACTTTATAGTCTTAAGTAAAAGTACAAAACTTGTCTATCATTGCTTTAATGGGGCGAGAGTTCATCAAATAGTACCCTTATTTAGTTATTTATTGTTTGCTTGATGCTTTGTTAGATTTTTAAGGTGTATTTTGCCTTTTTTTGATTCAGCAGAGACCGTCCAGAGATGTGGAGAAAGAGAGCAGGAGAATGAAATGCAGCAGGAGGGGACAGAAAGGTTAGTGAGATGGTTGGACTGGAGTTGTATCATGCAAATTTTAGTTGTTGCACAAAATCCTTTTTTGCCTGTGTTAATAAGGGGCTACAAGGCTGTTGTAAGCTCAATGCTGCGGTCTATTAAAACAGAATTGCCACAAATTTCACTGATAAGTTGGACTGCTGTTGGGTAGCGAACTTTAAAAAAGTATGCAGCACTGTCAGAAATCAAACTAGAAGAGTTTTTTTTTTGTCTTTCTACAGCGTAGTTTGTGTTATTTCACTACAAATGTCTCTGAGTTCAACGTCAATGTCGTGTCTCTTGTCAGTCAAAAATAAATGCACATTTTAAATATTCAGAAAAATAAAGTTACTTATGGATTAAGTAGATGCCCTGCAGGCCTTTCCCAGGGGTCAGTGTGATGCCAGAGAAGGATAAACACCAGCAACGTGGCAACCAGAAATCGTCCTTGTTAATAATTTATAATGTGGCTATAAGTGTTTACAAGGGATTGATTATCTATAAGACGCTGCTTAAACACTGTAAAGAGTTTTAACAGTAGTTAGAAAGTCTCCTCTCTCGGGACCCATATTTGAGCAGTTGGTGTCATTGTCTCAGACAGAGAACCAGGGCCTTTGTTTGCATCCCAGCAGGAACTATGCACAGTGAAATTAAAGGTTCCCTCCTCGACTAACGAAGCAGCTATTACAAAACGTTCAGCGGCTGCGTGTTGCAGATAATTGCTCAGCCTTTGTGCATGACTTCCTGACCCCGCGAAAGAAAACAGAGGGCAGACTCTGACCCCTGGTCGTTACCGCGACGTAGAACAGAGTCGCCTAATGAACATCTCTGTCCTGGCTGTTTACATCTGCCAATCAAACACGCCACTCTTCGTCATTGTCCTTTATGTGGCCATCAGACACAAAAGCAGACAATTAGCTGCGCTTATTAAGACTCTACTCTTTAAAGGGGAGCTCTGTGTGCTGGTAATTAATCAGCCCTGCAGTGGCGGGTGGGCGGACCTCTCATTAGTCCCAGGCTCTGCAGGCCGTGCTCCTCCTCTTCCTCCGAGGGGCTCTGGGCGGAGCTCCTCAGGTAGCGCTGGTGCAGGCCGGGAAGTGCGTTCTGTCTGCGGCGACGAAACTCCTCCTCCAAGGGGTCTTCGGCTGCGATGTCTGTGGGTGTGAGCAGAGCAGAGTGGGAATGAATCACACCTAAGCTTCTCGCTGTCTGGATGGATCGCCCGAGGTGTTCAAATCAACATTAAATCTCTTTTTCCCCCCATGTAGCCTCTGTGAATTTCAGCCTTCTGACATGAGAGGTGTGTTGCAAAAAAAAAAAAAAAGCTGAAAGGAAAACATATTACATTCTGATGCCCTTGGCAGTGTGAATACAATCAGACGGAGGGGGGGAAAAAAAATAGATACACACATCTATTACACCAAGTTGAGCACGAGTCCAAAAGGTATATTGATGTAACCAACAAGAAACAACAAAGATGATATAAAACAAGAGGTTCAAAGAGTCCCCGAGGCTCTGCAGACCCCTCCTCCTTTCAAACGCCAACCATATATTTCATTCATATTTCATCTGCCTGACTTTATTGTGATTAGTCATGTAAATAAAATGAGATTTGGTTATTCTTTTCTCTAGGTAATTTACATTTATATTGAATTAGTGGCAGGCAGGGTATGGAGGGTTGGGGGGGGTAGAGGGGCGACTTATTATGCCGGGAGATTACAGGCAGATCTCATCGCCATTGTGTTGTGTAATTAAGGCAGTGGAGAGGAGAAGAAAGGAGGCCAGATGCTCGCCGTGCTGAACCTGGTTCCATTTAGAGGAGGATGTGCACCAGCATTTCAAAAATCCCCTGCAAAAAGTCCGGCCTCTGAAGTCATCAGAGATTTGGCAGCTTTGTTTGGCCTCCCCGTGTACTGTACCTGTGTGAGCACCAGCATAGAATTATTTTTAACAATCCATGTATTCTGCATGTTTTCTCTTTGTTTTATGCATTTTAGAGGGACACGTTTAGAATCCTGAAGGTGGACCTAGAGGGTTCTGAGGCAATAAGAGACGACTGCTTGAGCACAGGCCTTAACAGAGACGAAGATTTCAATTCCCTTCTTATTACTGCAGGTCCTCCCATTTTGACCCAAGTCCAATTTCATTGTCACAAACGCTATTCAGTTGCGTTAAGGTTGAGTATTTTCCGCAGAATTGTTATTTTCTTGCTGAAAACGCCTAAACTTTAAAGGTGATTTGTGCTGTTTTAACCCTCAGACTTGAATTTCTTTATTTTAGATTCCGCACACTTTTAAAAAAGACAGGGTTGACCCCCACAAGGAGACACCGGCTCCCAGTGGACCACCAGACAACAGGACAATTGGTGGCTTTACTCTCAAGGCTGCAGCTGGGGGGGAGGAAAAAAAAAAAAAAAAAAAAAACTAATCCCAACCTGCATTTGTCTCGTGATCCTATCAGGTGAAGGTAGACTGCTGGATTAAGCCAAAATGCTTGTGACTTCAAGGTTGTGTGCTTTGTTCCAGCCTCCTTTCCTCCTGAGGATCAATATTTGCATCTATTACGGGTCCAGTTACCTGAGTGATAAGGTTTCTTCCGCTATCAAGTTCCATAATCCATCAGCAGTTAATTAATTTCAACAAAAACAATATCAAAGAGCAGGGATGATAATGAGATTTTTTTTAATGTTCATAGAGGCGGCCTTTTATTTTCTGGATCAAGGACTTAATTTGAAAAGCAGAGTGAACACAGTCGAGCTCCTGGATGCTTTCATTTGCAGCTATTGTCTTGAGAGTGCCTGTCATTTGTCTCCAGGCTAAACAATGCTGCGTGTATGTGTAAAGGCTGTTGGGAAGCACACTGTCTAGACTGAAACACACGAGCGTGTTACACCTCACAAACACCTGGGTTAACACCTAAATGCACACAGACACAAAATCTATGTGTGACGGACAAAAGCAGCCTTCCTTGCAGCAGGCTGGAGCTTTAGTTGTCCACTGAGGAAGGCTAAAATAAATCACTGTTCAGAAGGAGGCTAACCCTACATGACAACTACAACTGTGGACCAGATTATTTTCAACAGTCCACCTTCCCCGGGTTCAAGACGTCTGGTGTCGTGCTGATGTGACTCCACTGCTGAGCACAGAGAGATACAGTCTGTGCCCTTGTTCAGCACGGCCAAAGAGAAACTGGCAGCTTATCTTTGCCATCGTTCATAAAGTGGCCAGTGGCTCCGGGCCGAGCCGAGGTTTCGTGCTAAGCTGTCAAGCAGACGAGGTGGAGGGGGGATTAAAACCGGATGCCAACAGGAAGCCATCCTTCATAACATGAGGAAACTCTGGGACAGGAAATCACAGCACTGTGTCATATTGGAAGAGATGGATGGAGGGGAACAGGCGAAAGCTGCAGGAGTTGATTTTTTATTTTTTTTTTTTAAGGAGCAAACTCTTCCATTGCCAGTTGAAGAAATAGAGAGTCCATTTTATCCAATTATAATAAACAAAACTGACAGTTAGATATGGACATTGAATTCTTCATTGTTTAATTTTTCTTTTTTTTTATTTAAAAAAAAAAATATATATATATTTATGGGCAACATATGTCACTTGTTGCTTGATTTATTCCGATGAGGCTCCAGATTTTGTAATTTCTCTCACTGTCTTGAAATGATCATTCAGCCAAATTATGTCCGTCTGTCGTTTGTATACAAACAGTGTCATCTAGTGGCCACATGAGCATCCACCATCAAATTTAAATTTCTGAAAAAAAAAGAAGCACCAATTCTTCTTCTGGTCTTTGACAGGGACATCTCAGAACGAATCAGGCTTTAATGACGTTACTACATGGGTTTAGGAGATAAACACAGTGTATTGGAGGATGGATGAGAAAATACTCAGTTCGAAAAATTAGTCAAAAATAATAATTTGTTGAGTGTTAATTTTTTCTTAAATTGACAACAAAAAAGCATCTATTGAAGAACATTTCTGGGTCAGATACCCTGTTCTTTCTCGGAGTCATAACTTAACTTAAATCTGAACACAAAGGCATCAATTTTAGATTCAATGTGGCTCACACTTTCTGAGGAGATTATCAGCTAAAACATCTATTGCCAATAAAGTTTCCACCTAAAATCATGTTAAAAACCTCCTTATTGCTCCAGAGCTTGCTTGAGAGTCATCATGTTTTTACATTTTCCTAACACATTTATAAAGTAATCTAGTGGTAGCTGTTTTTACTTCCAGTGGTGCTCTGCAAAGAGATAATTCAGGATATTTTAACACTTTAAATGGTGCCAGTTTAAAAAGAAAAGGGCACTTGCTGTACTAGTTGTATGTCATACTACCTGTTCAAAAAACAGATATTATGGGAACTGTAGTTCAAAAATACTTCCTTACTGTGAAAATAAATATTAATAAAAACAACCTCTGTGTCCAGGAGAGGGAGCTATTGCATCATAAATATACTTCCTGCTCCTGCAGCATTTAATCGGTTGCTTCTGCTCCCCATAACTGCCTCTTACTAATAACTGATTTTTTTTTTCTAAAGGTGAAAACACACTTTTTTTTAAAGATATATTTTGGGAAATCAAAAGCTACAGATGACATCATTATGATAAGATATTAGTGGCTAATTTTTATTGCTACTTGGTGTAATAATCTCTATCTACATCAACATCTATCTCTAATGTCCTCACATTTACACACAAACACAGTGGGAGAGAGAGAGAGGGGAAGCATATACTGTAGAAATAGAGATTGGCGCAGGGCTGCAGTGTCACCTAGCAACAGGACTGCGCAAGCGCAACCGTCGCTTCAATCAGCACCGGTGAAGAAGAAATTGAACAAAACAAACACAAGCCAAATAGGAGAAGAGGTGGCCTCCACAGCGTCCAAACGCAAACACACTCGGCAGTCATAGATGTTGTAGGGAATGTCAGATATCAGTGTCAGGGGCTGTTAAGGCTCAACATTTCAGCTTGACTCACTGAAGGCCTCACCCTGCCCTTTTCTTTCTCTTCAGTTTCCCCACTCATGACTTGTCTCTGGCAAAAATATGCAGTGGGGCTTGTGTAAATAAACTAGCCCTGAGCACATTCCTCAACACAGACACACTCTTCTCTCGGCACACGGTGACCTCTGAGCCAAATCACACATGTTAACTTCCAATCTGAGTCTATCATTCCTAATGTTTGAGTTTTTAATAAATGTGTCCCAACAAGTTTTGTTGTTTTTTTTTTTTGCGTAATCTTGGGTTTTCTTAGACGTTTGACAGACAGACTGAACAATGTAATTAGTTTAATTTTGTGTCCTGCAGCATTCTGAGACTGTTGGAGGGCGTATTCAGTGTACAATCAGCATTTTTTTTTTTTACAACCTTTTAACAATGCGTAGATAGGAAGGGCAAAGAGAGAAATGAAAAAAAACGAGGACGGGCATGGTAATCCTGGATGTGGGCGTCACTTCATTTTCACCTGGCTCGTAAAGCTAAAGCATACCTACCACGCAGAGAGAGAAAAAAAAGAAAAAAAAAAGGCCTCAGGGTTTGAAGAGAGATGTGTATCTTTGCTACCAAGTGAATTTTCCCCATAATCTCTTGGATAAATAATGAGAAGGATTAATTTAGTGAAAGCGCACACATTGCACATTACCTCGTACTGTAGCATGAATCAGTGACCGAACCCTGATGTGAGTCAGCTACGCTGAAACGGAGGCATTAGTAGGTTAAAACAATGCACACGGTGAGCTCTAATGATGGATAGTGAGTGTACAAAAGAAGCAGCCACTGTGGTTTCCTTTTTATTGCCGTTGTGTAAAGCGGGTTTAGATGGTGATCAGGCACAAGCAGGCACCTCCAGGTAGAGTGAGGTGATGTAAAAAAGCCACTCAAGCCAAGAGAAACAACACACAAGACACCCGGTGACTGCAGCAGCATTTCCATGACATTCCACAAACTCAAGTTTATTGACCAAATCGGAAACTTTTTATTTTGGTTTTCTTTTGCACAAAGACTGAAAAAAAAAATCCCCTGTATGTCCGTTAACAGTGTAAGGTGTTGGTGTTGTGGTCTTGCTGACAGTTACAGTGGAAACCATAAAAGCAGCCTCCTTAAAAATCAGCAATCATGCAAAACAAACCAAACAAATCAAACACACTGTGGTATTTCCAAATACACAAACAAATGTAGAAAAATGCACACTGTTATAATTAATTTATTAATAATCTATGTCATTCTTATTACACACGCATGAACATGGGAACAGCTAACAGGTTAGGAAGGTGAAGTTCAAGTTAAAGACAATAAGGTGAAGTGGTTAAGCTTTTCTCATTCACTTGTTAAATTGGTCAAATGAAAAGAGCAAAAATGACATGCGGAAGTCAAATGTACAGCATCTTGTTTTCCTGCTACAACAACTAAGACAATATACACCCCCAAAGGAAAATATATATATATGTGTCTATATATATATATAGCACGTACCCAGCTTTGTGCATATGGAAGAATTAAAGTACAATTGTTGTAGAAAACAAAAACAAAAATCCCAGCAAGCTGGTCCCCCCCCGAAAAAAATTATGGAATAAATACAAATATACAAATACTGTGAAAATGTCTCTCGCCTCCCTTATAGCTAAACTAAAATGAGAAAGTTGTTCTTTGGGAATGAGATGCAGGAGGACAGAGAGTAGGCCGACCGCCGGAGTTTTTCCACATGAGAAAACTACGCAGATCAAATGTTGTGGCGAGATATTTACTTGTTATCCAGTCTTAGCTGCTGCTCCTTACCATTAACTGTAAGGGATTTTAACTGACCGTCCTCTACCACTTCAACCCGCTCCTGGCCGTTCTCCACGATTCTGTCAGACACAAAAAAAAAAAATACAAGAACAAGAGAGAAGCCTCTTTAGAAATCAGGATGATTGGAGAGGTCTAAAGAAAGCTGTTGTGTTCAACGTTTAAATACCGTTTAGTGGTAATTTTTCTGCCGTTGACGATCTTGGTGGAGGTCGACACAGATTTGAAGTTACCCATTCCTCCTCCTCCTCCTCCCCCGCCACCAAAAGATGAAGAAGAGAAGGAAGTGAATCCGCCGCCGCCGCCCATGTCTCCAAATGAGTTAAAACCTAGAAAAGAGCCATTCAAGAAAAAAACAACCCATTAAAGGGTAAAAGTGTGACACATTCTCCTCAAATGCGCTACTGACTGAATGTGGGGTTGTCAGTTGGGATGTACACACCTGAATCAAACCCTGAGAAGCTATGCCCAAATGCTGGAAAGCTACCAAAGCCAAAAAGCGACCCGCCCATCCTGTTCCGGCTTGCACCTCTGTGGTGGCTGCGACTGCCTCCGAAGAAATCGTCAAAGGGATCATCAGCTGTGAAGGGAATCAGACAATATGATTTGTGAATGAGAAACTCAGTTCTGCAAAAGCATGACCGGTGTTCCATTAATTTTCTTCCCTTTTTTTTTAGAAGCAGACAAAAACACGCCCTGACATTTTATCACTTTCACGTTGTTATGACAAACCAGCGGATACTGAGCAATGGAAGAGTTCATCTAGAGTTGTCTCCTGTCTAAAAAATGTAAGTACTATTCGCTATCCTTGTAGCTGTTTTTGGTCTTCACTAACTCCTGAGGGAAATATCTGGTTCTTCAGCTTCCAGGGATTTCTTCACCAGCTACTTTCCAACTATGTCTGTCACCTGGTTTGGTTCTGGACACGTAGTATATGGTAGGTTTTCATGCTGAACACAGCTGCCAGCTTCTAAAAGATTTAAGTAGCTGATAATCACAAAGCTGCGGTGGATGTCGGAGCATCGGTTTATAATTTCTGGAACAACCTTAACCCTAAACTGTCACATTGTCGACCACTAATTCTCATCCTAAAGCCCTGTAGACATGCGACTAATTGCGCTCTGCCAATCTGGGTCACCCCAGCAGGATAAGGATGGATCACTGGCACCATTTGCTGAAAGAAGACTCCGCCTTCAACCTTGAATGTACCGAGGCAGCGGTAAGAAAGCTTTGCTTGTTCCCTCTGACAGAAAGCTTAAAATAAAAGCATCCCCTGACCACAGTTGGAACTGTATTACTGTCCATTTACCTTGAAGAAGACCTTAGAGGAGACAGCTGAGCTCTCACAAAGCTGTCAGTAAAACAGAAGGCCTCAGTGGAAGAAACTGAGGATTGGAAGCGCTGAGGAAGGATGTTTAAACACTTGAAACGTGCTTATATTCTTCATACATGATCAGTGTAGCTGGAAGAAAGCTGGAGGCAAAGCTTTACTGCTATGTGCTTTGACAAAACTCTAAAAGACCTGTCGAGCACAAACGCTGGGGCTCAAACGGTGACGAATGTGCCACACCTGCATGACACTGTACAGGACATTACAGCATAAATAAATCAGACTGATAGTGTCAACGACCTTTCAAAACGCGCACGTACACCACAAGGTACAAAAGCACAGAAAAACAAAATAAACTCATAAACGCACAATCAGAAAAAAGAACAGAACCTAAAAACAAATACATGAGTTTAAAACGAGTCAAATTATTGTAGCTGTGGTGCTGTGTCAAAAGTTCTGCAGCATTTCAAACAAACATTGGGTAAAGCAGTCAGCTGACGTCTCCTCCCAGTTTACTTCTTCTCATGTTCATTTGAGAACAAGTGTCTGCTGTTCTTGGCAGACGTCGAGGACATCGTCACTGTGCGATTCTGTATTTGTCTCACCAGAACCCCAACCCCCCACAGTGGGCCGGACGCTCGGAGGTGGCTGAGTGACAGATGCACAGGACCAGCTGCTGCTCGCTGGATGGCATTTTATAACATATCATTTCTCTGGCTGCCGCCTCAAAGAAAATCAAGAAAAACAACGCGGCTCTGGAACCGGAACAGATTTAATATAGATTTGAAATAAATTTGACAAGATGCATGACTTGACATATCCGGTTGCATTCCAATCAAAATAGATGCTGAACTTTACTCTTTGATGCGATGGTGCAGACAGCTTTATGGTTTGGCTTTTTTTGTGTGCTGTCACTGTTTACTAAAAAGAGTAAACAGCAACAGCTGGGCTCCACCGCTTTACCTTATCATGCTAATAAATATAACACTCATACATGTTAGTATCGTGACGGCACTTTGTGAAAAACAATTGAACGAGAGAAGCTATAAAAACAATGATGATGCCACCTTCATGACTTTCTCTACAATTCTAATTCAGTGGCCCATTTCTAAGCATCATACTTAACTCCTATTAGATTACGGTTTTTCCATTAAGTCTATATTAGACACCCACGTTCGAGCTTGACTTATACCACGTTTTACATGTGCTCTGACACACGGCGCGCACACACACACTTGGCGTTATTACATCTGCTTTTGTTTTAATACGGAAGCTATTTTTGAAAGCATTCCAGTACAGTGATGTAGACGCTCAAATCCATCCTCTGCCTGCGTCTGAACTCCATATTTAGAGCTACACGGGGTGAACTACACATGCCTTCCAATCAGCCTTTTGCTGAACCCAGACAACCCTGGACAGACACTAAACGTGTATTACTTTATTCGACTTAATACAACTATTGATACTTCAGAGAAGACAAACTGTCAGGCAGCGCAGGACACTGTGCTTTCAACAGATGAACAGGGACTTGCCGACACCACTGTTTTTACCCTTTACGTTCATTTGGTACGTCTGTGGAAAGTGCAGCGAGGAATTGTTGACAAACTAGATGACAATCTGATAAGAATATTTATAGTAATCCTTGAGATTAAACACTCAGAAGTGATTTTCCACAACCGTCACTAGGGCTGTACTGCTCAGGTCGATTGGTTGGGCGATATGATCTTCTTGTTCCACTATAGTCTCACTGACTGGACAATCGTCGTGTTGCTTTTATAACATAGGGGTACTCGCCTAACCGAACGGAGAGGTTGAACTTATTTAACATTTACTAAACATTTACTCGGAGTCGACTTTCAGCATTTTGTTAAAACCATTGGTTTAAAAAAGCAGCTTGCATGTTCCAGCTTAACGACCAACACGGCAGATCATGTAGGAATGGCAGGCTGACGTGTCGACATTATATTCCTCATATCTGTTCAGGGATAATGAGCTGATAGAGTTTTATTTTCAGAAATCACATGAATATGGGCAGGTGCACGTTGGGCAGCACCAAGCCTGTTATCATTTCAGTACAAAATAATCTGGGTACTATGACTTTTATGCAGCAAATACTAGCTTTTTATGTCTCCTATAATTCAATTGGGCTAAAACAAGGCTAGCAGGTAGAGTGCACTCAATGCTCTGGAGCCGGTTTAGTACTGATAATGTGCAGATTTTTTTTTTCCTTGGGATTTGTGGAGGATGTGTCTTTGGTCGACTACAACCCCAACTGTTAAAATGTCCAGGTATGGCAGAGGGAATGCTGTATTTCGTTGAGCAAAAAACAATAGATGAAGGTGATGAATCAACATTTAATCTCCCAGTATGTGTGGTAAAATAAGTTGCTCTGTTTACTTATATCTATGTATGTAGAGTGTTTTACACATTTTATCTTTGTCTTATTTTCACCTGATTATTTAGATTTATTGTTTTTACTTTATCCTTCCATGTTATAGAACTACATGTTGGGGGGAGCACCGTTCACTGTACTACTTACTTACTACTTAATACTTTAGAACTGATAATAAGTGTTAGGCGAACACAGGTTCACAAAATGAAAGGTCTAAATCCTTGTTAACAGACTGAGGCTACGTAATGAAGTTTACATCCAGCAGAGACACTCCGTGGTGACATTTAGTGGTAGATGACCTCCTGAGGTGAACAGCGCTTAGTGTATTGACGATGCATATTACAGTGCTGTGGGGGGATTAGCACCAGGCTTTGCAGAAGGTTTCCTGGGTTTAATGTGCCATCTTCCATATTGCTCACCAGCAGGAACTGTCTGCTAATGGGCAAACTAATTAGGAAAAATATATGCTTCACACACACAAAATTGGGGACTGCAGGGTGTTCTCGTTTTCTCTGTGTGTCAGTTGAGCATTTCCAGGCCATCCGTGTATATTTTTGACCAGATAACATTGTGAAGTTAATAATAGCCATTGCATTACCCTCCTCTCTTATATCTCTCCTCAGTCCCTCTTTCATCTCTGAAAAAAACAACAAATCCCATCAGTGCCTTTAAGTGCACTGACAAAAAATGAGATTGACTCACCAAAAAAATCTGCAAATGGATCTCTGCCGCCAAAGAATTCCCTGAAAACGTCCTCGGGATTACGGAATGTGAAGCTGCTGCCGCCGAAGTGATCGTAATGGCCTCCTGTAAAACATTAAAGAAAAAGTAAGCTTATAAACTTTATCCAAGGCTATTAAAGATAACACTGCAAATACAGTCAAGTCATAAAACACCAATAAGTACTGAGCTTTCGTACTCAGCCAATCAAGTCTTAATTTTTATTCCTCGTCATACTTTGCCTTTTTAAACTGTTATCAATGCTTAAGTCTGACCAGTGATTTTCATGATACAAACATGAATATTTCATTACTTTCAAGCCGTTTCCTTACCTCCTCCTCCACCTCCTCCTGAGAGGCCTTCTTTGCCGTATCGGTCATAAATATTCCTCTTGTTCTCTGGGACAGAAAGAGTTAAGACTTTAGATAAGATAATGACGAACAAAGCAGACCAACAGAAAAGGAAATTCCCTCCTCTTTGTAACTCAAATCTCAATTAGGATCATATGATAAATATATGTTGGCCTTATGCTGGCAGCCTCTTAATTTTCAGTGGCAAACTACATTAAGTAATTAGCAGTAAACAACATCAGGAGCCTGCAGTGCGCTACTGAACAGCTTGTTTCTTACTGTTATGTCTGAGAGAAAATGGAAATTTTATTCTGACTCACACATTGACCTAAAACTTAGAGCATGAAGTTTTATTAAACAAAATGACCATCTCTCAAAAAAACAAGAAAATGTTGGTGGATAAAAATGCAATACCCCAGAAGTAAAGCACAAAAAGTATAATTTGACAGTTTCAAAACAGGTCAAGATTTCTAAGACGTTTATCTAATTTATCAGTATCAAAGTGTGAGAACTTCAACCTGAACACAGCTGCATTTCTGAAAAAAAGGACACATCTAATCAGTGTCTGAACACATTTACAGACCAAACACACACCCATCTTACCCCAAACGACACAACAGAAAGTCAGGCTACACCCCACTATACAGGATGATTGTGTGATAACAAAAGAGACTCACATTTCAGCTAAACAATCCTAACACTGTGCAATTTTAATTCTTACAAATGCTGCATCTTGTGACTGGGTGTGTGATACAGCGATGGAGGCTTCTGCTGTGCTCTCAAACCTACATCTGAATTCGAGACACTCTATTGTCGTTACACCGATATCTTCATCCACTCAAGAAACACAAACATGACTTCAAAAATGTTGGTTTATAAACCTGATGCATGAAAAAAATAAAAAACAAAAAATCAGCAGTATTCAGCAGGATCAAAGTACCAAACCTCCACACAGTTCTGGCACCATTCAAAATCTGTGCTTCACCTCGGATGAAAACTGTCAAGTTCTGAAATTTGGCTTCAACTGCCTAAGAGATGATTCAATAAAGCAGCTCAAATAACGTAGGCAGTCGGAGAATCAATCCATTTTATACAGCCCACTAAGTCAATCTGGTTTATTTCATGTCCTTCAAGCAAAAATCTAAGACATCAAGCAGTATCGTGGTCATTTACTATAATGAATTTTCCTTAATTCGTAATGTTAAGACAGAAGGTTAATGTTTTTCCCTACAAAACAATATGAAATGATAAAGAGTGAAACATTACAGCACATACAAAACAAAGCTACTGCAATAATTAGAAGAAAAAGAAGACTTTTGGGAGCACTTTTACATGAACATCTGACATCCATTATGAAACTTTCCTCCACATTTGGAAAATAAAGGATACATTTTGTTGTCCAGCCTTTTCCAATGGGAAATTTGTCTGCTTTTCTTTATCTTAAATGAGAGTTAGACTGCTGGTTGGACAAACAATCAAGATGTAACATTGGGTTCTGCAAACCCAAAAATATTTCACTATTTCCTGTCAGTTATATCAAAAGAGTCATCAAGAAAATTATTAAATTAATCAATAATGACAATAGTTTTTGTTACTTTCAGCCCTTAATTTGAGTTGTGGAACAAATGCTGTTTGTTCCACAAACACGACTGTATTGTCCAGGTAATAGCAACACTTTTTAAACAATACTCTTGTATTCAGACAACAGAAGTGCAATCTCATCTTTCATCAACAAGAGGGACAACAAAGGAAACGATTTCCATATTTGAGGTGCTAATGACTTAAAAAATAAAATTAAAAAAACTTATTTCAAATAGTGCACTTGAGAGAAACATCAATTTCTCTCTCTACAGTAAAATCTTACCATCTGAGAGCACTTCATACGCCTCTGACAGCTCTTTGAATCTTTTCTCTGCTTCCTCCTTGTTGTCTGGGTTCTTGTCTGGATGCCACTTCAATGCCAATTTTCTGTAACTGAGACACAAATGCCACATAGTTAGAAAAACCAAACATCCAACATGTGAAAAGAACAACTTGTCAAGTCTCAATACAGAGGTGGAAAATGTGTGCAAAACAGACATCCCCTGTTAGAAACACATTTCCAAATACAAGTCATTTTTTAGGGTCACAACCCTGACTACACACAAAGACCCGTCAGTAATGAAACAAACACAAACACCATCCTTCTCCCCCACCCAAGCAGAAATAACAAAGACAGCCTGAACTGCATTGACAAGCAGCGTAGGCCTCGTACAGCGGCTTACGCTGCATCAGCTATTTGTTCCTAAGCCCAGCAGCAGCACCGGCAGCAGACATAGATGTTGTAGACAAGACAAGGGACTGAAAGTCAGCCAACAAAAAAAAAGGCTTCACACAATCCAGGGATTCACTTCAATACAGATCTATAGTGAACAGTCTTTGTAGTCGACATCTTTGTTGTAATCTGTGACATTATCTTCCTGTCTAAAGCCTGGTCACTGGTCAGCTGGCCAGGCTAAGTTCAACAATGCAGTTTTGTTGATAATTGTGTAACACCAGTCTTTGTTGTCAGAAGCCTCTAAGTTTACGAGCAAAAGCAGCACCGGACATTATTTGTTTCTAAATAGTCGTTGTTCAGTCCAAACTCTCTAATGTGAGTAATAAAATTTGGTCACCCGGTTGTAATTTAATAGCTGTAAAATTTAATCAACAAAAAAAGACAAATCTTTAGCCATGCCAGCAGCTTTGTGAGGCTGTATTTTATGCTAAATGCTAACATTAACGAGCAGACATGCTCACGATGATAATGCTGCTTGACAGGTCGTGTTATGTCAGTCAACTATCTCAGTCTAGCTAGGTTAGCGTTTACTAACAAAAATGATGGGAAGAGTATTCAGTCATAAACCAGAATGTTGGTATATTACCCGCATGATGGTGTCAATTTATCAATTTACAATTCATCCTGAGAAGGACACGTATGTTTGTACAACATTTCACGACAAACCAGTCAGAAACAAAGAAGATCGAGCTGGAGTCATGGATTTATTAGACTAACGAACTGAGGTCAGTCTAATGTCAGACATAGCAGCAGATAGTGATCTTCCTGTTCTATTTGCAAATTGGACATTCTAAAGGTGGTTGATTTAATCAGCAGTGATAAATAGTGTTCAACAGTTTACTTCTGTCTCACATGATTTTACTTTGTTTAGTGATTTACTGCATTGTCCCAAATAACATTTAGTGCCTCCTGGATCACATGCCTACCTTCTAACAAGCTTATTTCTGTTTTTTGCACAGACGCTTCACTTCGTGTGAACCTCTTCACTTGTCATAACATAACGTGTTAGTGACAAGCGTAATTAACTGGAGCTGGCCTCTTCAGTGGGCGACTGCGACTAATAGTAGGTGAGTGAAGGGGGAAGGTATTTAACAGCAGCAAGGTTACAGGAAGAAGAGTGGAAACTTTCTGCATTGCAGTCTCTCTGCTCTCTCTCTCCTTGTGTCAGTTTATACAGCCAGAGGGGGATATAATTAACCTATGACACCCTCTGAGTGGCGGACATTTAACAACAACACCGGGACAAAAAAAGAGCAGAAAACACTCAAGGGCACTTACGCTTTTTTGATGTCCTCTGGCGTAGCATTTTTCTGGACTCCTAGTGTCTGGTAGTATTCCATCATGGTTCTGTCTGTATGTGTGTGCGTTTGTGGGTGCTGTCAAATGCGAGGGTCTGCTGCGTGGCCTCTGTGGAAAGACAAAGTTCCGTTAAGTCATGTCAGCTTGACAAGATAAAGCCCAACAAAGTGAAACTGAGCACAGCCATGTGTGACGGGTATGATACCTCCTCTCCAGACCAGCGGGGTACACGGGATAAGGGAAGGGAAGGGGCAATGGCATTAAAAAGGGTGGAAATACCCAACAATGTTGCACTGCACTGAAATAGCGACGGTGGGAAGAGGACAGCTAAGCTAATACAAGCCCAGCAATATTACATAATAACTGGGTGATCATCCCTCACCCTGAGGCTGAAAGAGAGAAAATGTGAAACATGTTTTCCTTTTGAATTTTGGAACTAGCTATAAAGAGCATGGAGTGTTTTTATAAAACATGACCTAATGTTAGAGTTATGAAACTTAGGCTCTAAAAAGCAAGACACAACAGGTCAGATTAAAAAAAAATCAGGAGACATTCAAGTTGTAGAATCACATTTACAATTTTATGTGGAGGACAACCTGCACCAAAGTGGAAAGATAGATTATATCTGTGGCTTTGATCTCCTGCTAAATACAAAGATATATCAAACTTCAAAGACAGCAGAGTCTGGCGTTTGGAGTATGTCAGTAGAACTCACTCTCTGATGTAAAGCGAGGCAATAGGGGGAAATAAGATACAATAAGTGAGAAGTATCACATGACTGATAAAGTACACAAAATGTCAGTAGCTTTCCATCCTTCAATTTATAGTTCACTAAATCCTCCCCCTCAAGGTAATTTGCATTTCCAGCTACTTGGTTTACCATCTCAGCTAATCTAGCATTATTTTAAGGCCAAGAAGCACATTATTATCAAACTGTATTAGTTTATAGCATTAAAGGCTACGTTCCCATTCAGAACTAGCATGTTCACTCATACTTCTCCAAAAGGATGATATCAGAGTATTCTAACTTTAGTTAGTAACTCTGTCTTGTTTACACCGCAGTAACTAAGTGATATATAGTAATCAAGTGTATAATTAAGTCCTGCCGTCTAGGGTTCGCATTTTAAAACTAGTCAGCTGAACCACTAAAAAGTCAGCCAGAGACAGTTGTTTTAGCCATAATAGGGAGCTAACATTAGCTAGCTACAGCTGAAAAAATCTGCCATTTACGATGACAAATTTGACAGCTAAAAATAAGAAGCTTCATCTTCAATCAAGACGTGAACAGTAAGTTGTCCCATTTAATCAAACCCATTTCTTAAAGAGCAGTATTTCTAAACCTACCTGTGTCTAGACGAACACCTCGAGATAAACTAAAAAATCTGAGGCAACCTGGGGTCATTCAAAATGTAAATCAAATAGAGATCAAGCCACATTGGAATCTTTTGAACATCAGACATACATAGCTGTCCGCAACCTCATTTTTCCAATTAAAGTTGCTATCCATGTCAGCTTTTATAACATTTTACCTTCCCAGTTCTACTGTCTGTTGTTTATTTACTCAGTCATTTTGTGAATAATCCCTGGTTTGGGCAAGCTTTGTATGGCTTCACTGGTGACGATAAAACTTCCCCATTGCCATGTTTTTATTGTGGGTGGGTATTAAACGTAGTATGTCACAAGTTTAACCCCAGTACAGGCTGTGGCTTTCTAGTTCTGTTTTATGGTGTGTATAAATATGAGTTCAGAGGAGTAACAGCTTCATCTCTAAAAGCAACAATGTTGGCTCTGAAAATCTTATTTCTGTGAAAGCAGAAAAACGATAATCTTTTCCTGTCAAATCTAATCTTAATAGCAGATACACCAATTTCCTACATAAACAACCTTTGTTTGAACCAAACTACCACTAGCATGAAAGGAAATCAAATAAAGATATGCTGGGAGTTAAACCAAACCAATTCTCCCATTACTGTGGCCTCATCAGAGACCTTAGACAAGAATCTGTTTCAACAAACATTGACTGACACCTGATAAATCACCACAGTTGCCACACTTGAATACTTTCTAGATTCCTTCCAGCACACTGACCTTAAAATATAATAGCAAAACTCAACAAGTACTGAAAAGAAATCATATCTAATGCCAAATAAACCCAAAACCAACCATTAATGATCGAGGGATCTCTTAGTTGTCATACTAAAAAAATGATAAACAAACCAGTAGGCATTACTGGAGTCCACTATGTCCTGTTTGTTTGCTATTTATAACCTGTGGCCTTTGCAGTTAGATTGTGTTGATGTGTGTGTTATGTGGGGGGTTGGGGGTGTCTGGCACATGGCAGTGCCAGTGAGGGATTCCTGGTTGGGACATGGCACAGGCACTAAACTCCTTCAGATGCCTGAGTAAGGCGGTAATTCCAAAATTTCCCTCTCACACTTTATTATCCACTCCCTCTTTTGCTAATGAATTCCCCACTTACTGATTTAAAGTCTGGCTAACCTAACATGTCCTTATTTCTACTTCACATCCTTATATAGTCCACAATCCAAATATAGATATGAAGAGATCTGACCCAGAAAGTCTTTGTTTTCCTCCATTTTTCTTAAAAACCAACCCAGTGTCCTGACTCATCATATAAAATGCATCTTGTTTTATTCCCCCCACTTCAGCCATTACTGACCCGCTCACCCACCCACCAGCTTCCTGCAGCAGTTGGGATTTAATGGACACAAGTGGCTGCTGGAGATGTGGTTCTATGCAACGCGTGCGTATTCATGCATGTATGTGCAGATTTATGCCTCGTGGCAGTATTACAAAGCTAACCCACATCGGATGGAGTCCTGCTGTGCTCAGTGTGAACTATGCCTCAGAGTGAGCAGAACAGATGTGGGTCACTTAATCCCACAATGCATCTGTGAACCTGGTGTTGTTTATAAATGTTAGAAGCACAAGAACATTATTACATCTGATGTTTTTCTGAAATGTGTCAAGTCATATTAGTAAAGTGAAAAGCATTTCTTGTGGAAGACTAAACTACAAAAGCAGTCAAAACATGGCTGAAACAAGACAGATGGAAAAGCAGTGTTTGGCCTATTTTACCATCGTTGTGACATTCTGTGCAACCAGTCTTACAAAACGACTTCATACATCTTTCAGCAAAATGGCTGTAGGAACACTTGAGCATTTAGCAATTTTTCCCCCACTTATACTTTTCTAGTCTATTTTTAAAGGAAAGTCCAGTAATTGATTAGTTAATGTCATGGTTTGTTGAGTTGGCGAGCTGGTGGAAATGAAAGCAAGAGTTCAGCGTACGTTTAAGAACTTTGATCTGGTCGATTATCTGATTACGTTGCGCAACGAAATTAAACTGTAACTAATTTATTTAGCGATTAATCATTTAAATAATATAATAATAAAAACATATCAGCCAGTTTCAGTTTCTCAATACTAGTTTTCCATGATTCATTCTCGATGTAATCAAGATCTACTCACCTTTGTTATACATTTCCTTTACTAACTATAAATTAGTAAAATAACTAGCTGGCTCTAGTACTAGCATCTTTAGATCCTTTCATGAGGTATAGTAAGAAAAAAAATGACAGTATATTGGCAGTGTGGTGGTAAAGATAAGGTGATTCACAGTGCAATTCCCTAGATTACTTGTTGACCTTTAAACTGACCCCGATGTATAGACACAAGCTCACATCTAATGAATGCAACTGCACAGAAAAGTGGTCAAAACGAAACCTCTCCACAAAGAAGGAGGCCTTATTCTGCACTAAGTGATGAGGTGAAGACCTCAGTGATGAGTTGCTTCTCTTGTGTTTACAGGAGCCAGATGAGGGACTGTTTGCTTTGACAGATGTATTGAGGGCAACATCACGGGTTCAGGGGGTCTGCACTGCGGGACAGAAGGTGATGAAGAAAAGTCAACAGATATGGTCCGATCTCAGTGCTCATCTCTTTCATGTAGCTTTGACTCAATGGGAATCCGCGCAAGATTTTGGAGTAAACACTTCCAAGCAAGTTGAGCAGCAAGAGATAACATCTGTTCAAGTGTTTTTCAGCTGTGCTGTGCTGTGCTGTGCTGGTGTGGCAATTTAGATTTCCCTTAAAGGGGCAATATTACATAACAGTATATAAATGAGCCTAAAAGTCAAATTCTTGCAATAGTGCATCACAACAAACAAAAGTAAAGCCAGAAATACAAAGATGATACCTTTTTTCGGTGGCATTTGTGATTTACACTTTACATGTGGTAATAAATTTGACCAATCATTTGGGTAATTTTCATGTGATTGTGTAAGTACCGACGCTAGTCCCAACTTCCAGCTTTTAGAACAGGTTAGAACAGGTTTACACCCACGTTCAAACCACATTACACAAAAGAATTTAGCACATTATGATAACACATTATATAGGCAGGAGTACTCAGTGTACACACATTTTAAAACTGGACAGTAAAACTTGAGCCCAAAACTTTACGGTAATCAACCCATTATAAATAATAACCTTCTATCAGTACAACACAAAGATTTTCAACATCAGAAGGAAAAATAAGATTGCAAACCGCAAGAGTTTTGCATTATTTTGTAGTTTCTAGTTGCACATCTGTCAACACGGTATTTATAAAACAATACTGATGTATTTGTTCTAAGCGAATATTGGGTAAATAACTCTACCCTGTTAACATGGGGACCTGTATTTAAGTTTAAAGATTTAGTCATTCTAGAAATGAAAAAAAGGCTATTTGAATCTTTGTCCTTTTTTTTTTTAAATAGAAAGATACTACAATGATTAAAGATTTAATGGATAAGAATGGAATAACAGTGGAATTCCCCTAACAGTAGCAGCCATCACAAACCATCAGTGCTTAAACAAGCATACTTACACTAAGCAAAATCATACAAGTTGATTGGGCTATGGATTAATCATAAACGTTTATGAGTTCATAAATGTTGCGAATCTGTACATAATTCCTGTCAGCACCAAGCTACTAAGTTAATTATCTGCGGAGGAGCTCAGGGTTCTATCTGCTGATTGAAATCTCTGATTAGACTTCAGTATTTCGGTTTCAGTCTTGGGAAGTGACGTGTTCTTGCGAAACAATCGGTGACTGGGCAAAAGTAGAAATTAAATTCCTTTTGTTTTATATGCAACTATGTGATTGCAATCAAAAAAGGCAGCTACAGTACTTTGTCAGTGTCCAAGAACACTCAAACAACACTGCAATTGTGACACTAACAAGACAAGAGCACCGGATAAAACAGGCTCTGAGCAGCCGGATTCCAGGACCTGACAAAAACCACAGCTGACAGAACAGAGAAACAGATGACAGCCAAACACAACACAATAACAACCCTGTTCCTTACCTGGATTGATTCATAACAATGAGCAATGATAAATATTACAGAGTTTGCACATGATCAGAGGCTCATTTCAGAGTACTTTGGATTAATCTATTTACTTTCTATTCGTGGAAACATGTTGTTAGAGGTCATCGTGTAAAGAAGATCTTATTTACTGTAAACAGCAGGAGGCATTGTATGGTAGGACAGTGAAGCCATTCACAAATTGCAACATATGGGTTATGGGTTCTTTTTATAATTTGATCTGCTCCAATTGACAAATCTGGGTACATTATAAACAGTAAGTGCTTTAGAAGGCTACAGCCCAGTGCATGTTCAACTTGTGCTTGACAGAGATTCAATGATTGTACTTAGCATCATTTAGTGACCTCGCTGTGCTACAAGAAGTATCAGTGTCTCTGATAGTGATATAAAATAAAATAGGTAATAAGACACTACATTTGCTGGAATTCGTTGGTTACAAAACGAAAACGCTCCAGATTCCATGTTGGAGCCATAAGGAAGTGGTATATAGACCTATACCAGTAAACAGTAAAAGCTTTTAATGTCTGATAAGATAGCATGAATCTATAAACCCAAGCATCATCCATTAAGCTATTAAACCCTGGTTCAGAAAATTAAACCTCCATTCCAACAAACTACCTGTCATGAAATAAATTAAAATCCATTACAAATCACATGTATTTATATCGTGTGTTTAAAAACAACCTGGGGAGAACAAAGTGCCGTACATGTTATCAGATACGCTGCAAAAAATATTAAACATGTAAAATCAATTAGTAAAACCAAATAAAATAGCATAAAATAATAAAATAGGCAAAAAAGGATTGCAACTTGTAAGATTAATTTTGAAAAAAAAAAAAAAATTTAAATATTAGGACCATTAAGAGCAGTCAAAAGGCATTGAAAACACATACGTCTTTGGGTTTTAATTTGAAAATATCAAATTGAAATAGCATCATAAATGACAGTTTTCTCAGAAGAGCATGATAGCGTTGTATTAGTCTGATTTACCCTAACTTAGGAAAGTGAGGCTGCCACCCGATGAACTAACCTATAACAAAAAATGTCGTCCATCTAGTCAGCCTACACAAGCACGACACAAACTTTTCTAATTACATAAAGATTCTTCAAATGACACAGTGAACCCCCATTAAACTTTTGAATGACTGCCAATCCTTGTATAGTGGTAATTACACAGCAAACACTATCTTTCCCGTCAACCTTTGAAGGTAGTGCCATAAAGACCTACCTTGTAATACTACATACCTACAGTCGGTTCCTTATTTGCATTAACTTGCGCTGCAATGATCTGATTCATTTGTTTAACAAATTAGCAATTAATTAGGGTAATAATTCTGCCAACCTTTCCAGTCAATCATCAAGAAAGAAAGACTAAGAGGGGGTGCTACTCACAGCCTCCTAGGGCAGCAAACAACAATTATTTTCATTACTGATTATTGTATAATTTTTTTTGATTATCAGTTAATCATTTCGTGAGACAAAATTTCACAAAATGGTGAAAAACATCACAGATGCAATGGTTTAGAGATGTCTTGTGTTGTCTGCAAAGATCAAAGATCAATAAACGATCAAACTGTTGATTTATTGTTTCAAATTGATCTTTCATCTTTGATGTCATGGAATTAGTTTATTGCTGTTAATCAGCAAATAAACGAATGTTTGAAATCACATTAGCTGTAGGAGATGTTATATATGCCCATTTTATTAAACTTCTAAATATAATATTCTATGTAGTGAAACTAATCCTTAAACTACTTCTTCTTTCTCTGTAACTAGTAGCAACCACGAGTGAAAACAAACTGTTGTGTAAAACAAACAAACAAAGGTGCATTATGTGGAATGAAAAAGTGTATTTTTCCACTGTGGGCTATTTTTCTGAACTTTCTGGAAGCTAACATCAACAGGCCAATCAGACATCTGAAGCGGTTTGGCAACTTGTAAAACTGAATCAGATTAGAGGAAACTTCTAGAAAGTCTTGAGGCGGAACAACGAGTTTTGAGCTGTATTGACTGACTGCATTATAATGAGCATAAAATAGCCAAAAACGTTACATAACAAGTCAAAACATCTCTAAAAATAGTGGCGTCCTAACTTTAATTTATGGCTGTGTAGCGTCTCCAGCTAACATTAGCGATACACCAGCGGTTTGTAGTTTACCAAACACAAACTTAATGTTCTAAGAACTGACTTAAACTCAAAAACATATGAAGGTGTAGGTTCAGCTAGCTGACATTTTAGCTAGCTTTAGCTTAGTTATCATTATTTTGGTTGCAGCTTCGGTTTGGCAGAAACAATGAGCTTCACTTACTAGCCTCACGAAAGCAGAAGCTACAGCCTGTTCTTAACATCACCAAGAAGACACAAGAGAAAACTGCATATGTTGTAAAATAATGTCAATATATTCTTTAACGTTAGCAGAAGACGTGAGGTTGCGGCACAACAGCATCCCCACATGTATTTGAATCTATGCGGCAGGAGACGCTTTCACGGCTCCTTCAGCGACCCAAAGCCACATATACGGCGGTTTCATTTCCTATAATTTAAAGACAGCTTACCTGTGTGAGGGAAATGTCCGCTCCGACGGCCTCGCTGCTGCTGCTTTACCTCCGGTCTTCGCCTGAGTACGGAAACAGTAACTGCAGCCGCTGGTGGTGGCTGGTTGCTGGTGGTGTGGCTACTGATACCGCCTAGCCCACTGTGCTGCTGCTGCCTTCAAATGCTGTCGGAAATCCGCCGTGCGACCAAAACACACCTGGATGTGCTGCGGGTACACTTCAAACCAACAGCAATGGTGGCCCTGTTTGGTGTTTTCACAAACATGGGCAGGGTTGACTAGCTGTTCGATACAGAATTACTAATGTTTAACGTCTGAAAAAACAAAAAAAAAGTGGGAACTGATCCGTGAACCCACGGCCTCATGGGCCCTGAAAGCCCCAAGTTGTCTGTGTGGCAGTTTGAGCTCAGTTGTTCAGTAAAAGGCACTGAAGCACAAAAAACTCGTTTTTCTTCAGTTTCACGTGTAACATTTGATTTTCATGTGCCACATTGTCAATGTAATGTGCAATATTTAATTTCCCATGTGCAATATTTCATCATTATGTGTGATTTTACTTTTTACCTCATGATCACTGCCAGCACTACTTTTTAAATGTCTATTCTTGTCTTATTTTAGCTTATTCATTTTATTTTATGAATGTATCATACTTATATATATATATATATATATAGTATTGTTTTTCTGCGAGGTACTGCATTCATGCTTAGGTTTTGCCTTTTTGTTTTCTCTGAGCAATATCTGTCACAAGAATTGAGATAAAGTTTAATCTTATCTTATCTTATCTGAACCACAATCTTAACCCTCCTATTATCTTTGGGGTCAGTTTGACCCCTTTCAGTGTTTAACATCTCTAAGTAAGTCATTGACATAGTTTTTTTCAGTTTTATTTAAAGGGCTATTTACACATAAACTAGGGTAATAATTTCAATCATGATATTTTCTGGAGGTTTAAATTGCTGGGGTCAAAATGAACCCAAGGATAAAAGATGTCAGTAAATTTGACAGTAATAGGAGGGTTAAGGTCTTGTAATTGTGATAGACAATTACGATTATGTTTACATTGTTCTTATTCTTAACCAGGTTGTTTTTCTCCCCTTTATTTTGCTCTATGTTTTTGTAAAGCATGCTATTATTTACAGGATAGCTTGAGCTACTTAAAAATGCCAAGACCAAGTTTCAGAAAAGTTTTGCATTATTTGAAATATTTTTTTGTTTGTTTGTGTGTTTGTTTTTAAACACATCACAATTATCGGTATAGGAATTAGGAAGTAAACTTCTAATGATGTAGAAACCATATTAATAATGATATTTTGAGCTTTAGTACAGTAAAAAAGTGCATTAATAGTGTTACAAAACAACAAAACTGACAATATGTCTATATAAATCCACTAAGGGCTCACAGGTCCTTATTGCCCCAAAGTCCCTTGTGACTTTTTTTGCTCTGATTAATGTGAAATGCTCAACGCTGAAACTGAATAATCAGTATGAACAATTAGGAACTGAACTGCAAAGATTACAGATCAACAAACATTTCAAGGAATGCTTATCTAATTTGGGAAATCACTCTGTTCCATTTAAAAAGAAGCATTAGAATAAAAGCAAATGAGCTTGAAAAGTGAAGACATAGCATCCAGAATGTGTTTAAACTTTGATTTAGCACCACAGTTGCCCCAACTGGCATCTTCTCACATGGTTGTAGATTTTGTTTGAACTGCTACATTAAGCAGAGGTCTGGACATCCTTCCCCAGGAACTTTGCATTAAACACTTAATTTCCTGATTTCTTGTGAACTGCTATCCACCGGTTTGTGCCTTTTCTGTGTTGCTTTATAGAGGGATTATCTTCATTTATATATGTAAAGGAAAACACAAAATTCAGGCAACATGACTAAACTAACTTTATTGCAGTTTTTCATGTTTCTTTTTGTTTGCTTGTTATTTTTGTCTTTTGTTTTATTCTACAGCCATGAGTACAAACAATATGAAACTAAATTGATATCATTACAGATCAACAAAAAAACAACCAGATTTCAAAGATCATCCTGCTCCATTTACAAATAAACAATAAAATAAAAGCAAATAAGCTTTAAAACAAGAAATATTACACATATTAAATTATATTATGATATTATATCTTTTACCTTTCTACACTCAACAGCTCCCCACCTGGGATCTTTTGGAAGCTTACTTACGATGCTTTTTTCACTCAGAATAAATAAATTGTAGCATATAGCATTTTAAGGATGTGTCTGAACAGTTTTAACACTGTATTAAATAAAACAATAGATTAACAGCTTTAGAAAAAGAAATAACACCTGTCCTGATGTCTGTGTTGTTTGTACTACAAGAAGACAACGTTTGTCAGGTCACATTTTAGGACACCGAAGAGATGGTGTTTTTTACGAGGGACACGTGAAAGCAGCACGTCATTGAGCGTCGACAGCGGCGCCGCTTCACTGACCTGCTCACACATCCACGATGAAACACGCCAGGTCCTGCAGGCGGAGGACAGAGGACGGGTCTTTGCTGGTCATATGTGCATTATGGATGAAGTGATGCACGCTGGTCTGTCCTGCATCTCGGTTTTTCTTAACAAGTCAAGAAATTCGGTTAATTCTAGGGACTGTTGTCACGCACCGTGCAGGTACCAGGAGCAGACAAACGGCTCTCTGCGCCATCTGTCGTGTATTGTGGGAAGCATATGACCTATCTGCTGTAATTATAGGCCTGGCTTCAAGACAATGCATCTGAATGTTGTGTAGGTAGCACTAAGGCCTTAAAAAACCTTTTGACATTTTAACAGAAGATGAACAGATTAATAAGGCTTAGAGCAGGTCTATCTAAGGTTCCTCTTGTTATAGCTATGCTGCCTCACCTGATTTTACTTTGAGATAATAAATAACTGCTGGTCTTTTGAGATACGATCATAACACCAATTCTGTCTGTATAGTCTTTATCATGTGCTGCATATCTGTGCTGGTGTTTTAACCGATGAGGCCTCTGCATTGGTGTGATTTGCTGCACTGGGGGATTTTGGCGGTCACCTGAATCTGTCCACTGATGGAGGTAGTAAAGGTGAGGAAGGTCAGCGAGATGATGATCCAGCATTTTATGTGCATGCTCACACAGTCCCAATAAGAATTGTAGTCCGGAAAGATAAGTGTAAAATCCTCAGTGTGTCAGAGATGGAGTCAAATTTAAGACTAAAAAAAATGACATTACACTGCTGCACAAATACAACCATTAGCTCTTCTGTAAGTGTCCGTGCATGTGTCTTCCTATTCCGACATGATGCAATTTTTTTTTATTTTAAAAATTTTCCACCGTTTTTTTCAGGTCACAAACAATCAGGTCTTTTTTTTTAATCAAAACTTTGAATATCCATGTCAAAACATGAGAGAAAGTCTTAGTAAATTGATATTTTAAGATTAAATTTCAGTTGTTATGCCTCCAAATGAATTACAAAAAGTTTGGACAACGACCTCCTGTCTTTCTATCCTGACATGATGCAGATTTTTCATATTAAAAATGTTTTTTTTCCCCTGTTTTCAGGTCACAAACTCAAGAAATTGAAGCTATACACGGGAGATGTGGCAGAGAAAATGAAAAGCAACGGGCTGAACTCATCATAACCCAAAGAAGCCGAATGAAGCAGTGCAGGTTATTGCAGTTTTGAACCGAACTGAGCCTGAAATTACAGACTCGCATTGATTTTAAATGGAAAATGAAGGTCGTTTTTGCAGTTAAAGCTGGCCGAAGCTCTTGCCAGCTAAGGAAGACCCAATGAAAATGACAGATAGCTATTAATTATACTGGACATTATGGGCGGTCAGGATCTAATTAGACTCATTGAGCAGGAGGAATCACAGCAATAGATATCTCACACAGGTCAATATATATCATGCAGTCAATAGCTGTCTTTGAACGTATGCACGCAGACTTTTCTCTGACTGTTGTGCCTGCAGACTGCATTTTATTGGATCATCTGACAAAGCACCACAAGACTGAGGCAGCTCTTGCCTGTAAACTTTAACATAGATCAAATGTAGTCTAAACTGCAGCTAACAAGCAGGTTTTCAACCCCAAGACATAAACGGCAGCCTACTCCCTGTTCATGTCTGGACAGGCAGAACGTGCTCACGAGGCAGCTCAGGCACACACAGTCCTCATGTGCTGCTATGCCAAATGAATAAACCTGTATTTCACTCAATCCTCTTTGAGCCAGGAGGGCTCTTTTCATAAAAGTAAAAAATAAAAAAACAGGTGAATAAGTTTCTTTCTGTTTTCTGTTAGTGTCCTTGAAAGTCTTTCAGTGAGTCTCCAGCACAGTGAGCTACACTTTACTCAGTTTTTTTTTCATTAGAAGCATGCAGTGGCAGAAGAAAGCAAAGTGCTGTACATGAATTGTTGCACGATTAACAGAATATTGAGGTTTGGAAATCTTCTTTATGCAACTTCTACTCTTAGCCAGCAGATGGCACTCTGTGAAAACAAAAGGGGAACTGAGTGTTGCTCAAGATCTTCTGTTTGAGAGGTTGAGGTAATACCCGCAGCTTTCTTTTGGTTCATTGCACTTCTTGTTCATTAGAGGTTGGTTCAGCCCGCTGCTCATATTTGCCTCCATTATGATCAGAATCCATGTCAATCATCTGGTTAGTTTTGCAGACGCACACGCTTCGGTATGATCTTTTGGAAACTCGGCTACAATCCCCAATCACCCTCGAGTGGATTTTGATGTTTCCCTGCTCTGCAGTAAGATAAACAAGCCTAAAAGCTTCAATTAGCCCTTAAAAATCCTACGAGCAAGCTAAAGTATATTACGCAGTGAAGATGATTCATAACATCCTGCATTAACTTTGTCAGTTATAATCCATCACAAGGTAATAGTCTTAAATAAATCTCAGAGTAATTGAGATGAATCCCTCATTTCAATGACAAGTCTGGTTTTTAAGACCCAATTACCACTTTGAGTTCTCTGGCCCAGCGGATGTGCGGGGTTCGGCCTCCGAGATGAGATGAGGGGGCAGCGCGTTGGCCGTTTTAGCAGGGAAGAGAGGATGGAGAGATGGACTCGGTCCAAAGACGGATGGATCTCTTCCTGGGCTGCAGTGCATCAGAGGGCAGGGAGATTTATGACAAACGCACACAATCTTAATTTGTGCTCAACCCGATAATGCATCTCAAGGCCAGAATAGTTCTGCTCAGTGTTTCTTAACTGGATGTTTCTTTAATTATATGTCAGAGGCCATAAAACTGAGGAGGAGATTTTCCCACAAAGCACCGTTTTATGTCTTGGTCATTACTGTAAATTACAAGCAACAAGAAAACTAGCAGACTTATGGAAGGAAACTGCAAAAAGAAAAGTGGCTTTATTCATTTCCATACACTCTTGGTTTTTTTTTCACCCTGTTGGAACACTGATCATCTGTAAGCCTTATCCACGTGACACGATTGTTGCTTCCTAAGAGCAAACTTTCAGGTGCTGACCAGGGAAGAGATTGTTCACCTTAGAAGGCATGTGTGAAAACATAAAGCCTCCATTCGTCACACAAAGGAAAGAAAAACAAACCTGTACAAATACAGAGAATACAAGAGCGGTTGTAAACATATACATATTCACAAAACCATAATCTTATAATCTTTTGCCCCAGTTTAGTCCAGCAATAGAAGTCATTTTCTACACTTCAGATGGCCTGTGTGCACACATACAGTATGGTTATCAGACATGACAGTTAATACTAGTAATAATAATAATTTGAGATATCACAAAAACTGGAGTTTCAATGACCTCTACATGAAAATACATGTTAGCTGTACACAAAAGCTCCTCCGCCTCCGCAGCCCTTGGCACACCACAAGGTGGCTTTAGAGTCCTACAGTCTGTCCCCCTGTTGTTATATTGCCTTTTTCTTTTTTTCTTCTTTTTTTTTTTAAACACGATGCCACTTAATCTTTGGTGAAAAATAACTGTCGGTTCATGTTAGACTACACAAGAGAGCACACGCTACTCTTGTTTTTGTTTCAGCGCATTATACTTCCTGCAAAATTCACTTGTATCTGTTGAAGTGTTCTGACAAGTGACTAAATATTTAAATTACTTAAAAGCAACATAAAAAAGGCTTCCTACCCCACTTCATCCTTGCACCCCTTTTCTTTAGTCTGTGGGTGAGCATTTACTCACCTTCAACTTGGCACACGCACACACACACACACACACACACAGAAACACACACAGTAAATCAGGCAGGTCAGTGCATCATTTTGTTTTCCCTCGTCTATTTTCATTTTTTTTTTTAAAAAGTCTTTCACTCCGAAGCCAATTCTGTGGCGTCGTGTCCGTGGATGCAGAGACAGAGAAGCCTTCGCCCTGCTCAGCTCAGCTCGAACCCGGCAGAGGACTCGATGGCGTACAGCAGCTTGTTCCTCATCAGGTGCTGGTCGCAGAACTCGGGGAGCTTGAGCAGGTTCATGCAGGTGCTGGCGGTGGGCAGGCGTTCCAGGTCAGAGCCGCCGTTGTGAATGCAGAAGGCCGGGTAAAGCTCCTGTTTGCATATGTAAGCTGTTCATTAGCAACTGACAAATCGCCGGCAATCACAGAGAGAAGTCTTGACGTGTTTAAAGACAGACGAAAAATGAGGCGTGAATCAACACGTGTCAGTAAATGATCACAATTTCCAAACCAATCCCGATTAAGCAATAAATGTCAAATTCCACAGGGGGATAAATGTTAAAAGAGAGACATTAAGCGTTAAGCTAATACAGTGGGAGTATAAATTTAGGAAATCAGCTTAGTGCTTGAAAGGTACTGAGTGGAAAACCGGCCCACAGTTTGACCCTTGGATGAGACGCTGGAGGAATGGTCATTTCATGTTGTCTATCTGGCATTTTTTAAATCAAGCCTCCCAGTGATGAGGCCACCTCATCTGCAGACTGTGACACCGAACGTTTCCATCACAAGCCAGGCCGACGAACAAGCTACTCCGCCCTGATTTCATCCTGCTATTTAAAGTTAGCATATATGGTTCAGCGGCCATACTTGCCCGATTAAATGGCTCTTCGGGGGCTTCGCCATAATGACCCCATTTTTCTGACAATTACCGTATTAAACTATCGTTGCTTATTGAGAAAGTGTCATTACCACGGCTATCATTTTGGAAAAAAAGAGAGTTTCCATCATCTTTTTTAAATGGCTTCTCCTGACAGAGCTATTTCTCCTCTAATGAATCCTGGGCCGTTTCACGACAGCTAATTAAGACTTAGCTGGCGCGAGCTGAGGGCCGGGTCAGGGGCCGCTCCCCCACGAATTACCGCCCTTTCCAGCCCGGAGAAGAGGCAAGGTGGGAGGGGAGGAGTATCACACACTGGCCAAAGTCTAATTTATTAAATGAGGGAGGGAGGGGAACTCTCAAAACCTGAGAGGAGATACTGCAAAAGAATTTAGGGAGAATTTTGGTCCTTCATTCTACTGCAGAGCAGCAATAAACTTTTCTTAACTAATGACAATAACAAGCAGTACTAAAACCAATCATTTCATGATTACAGCTTCTGCTTGGATGGAGTATGACATAAAAAGTCTTTAATGGCCCTGAGCAACACTTTGTGCTTTTTCTCCTATCTCAAACTACTTAAGTGTCCCACAAATCAAGTCAGTGAGAAAGTGAAATGGCTTCCAATTAGGAAATCATTTCAGAAATAGGTGGTTAGCAATAATGATTCAGCACTGTTAAAACGATGTTCAGAAGGTGATTGATATAGCCTCCTTGTCTGTTCATTTTACAGGAAATTACTGCTTTCTGCCGTGTCACACAAAAGGAAAAAGTTGAAAAGTTCAACCTGCTACCAAGATCTGTATGGAAATATTTGTCCAGCCAAGGTCTCTGGCTGAGCCCACACATACAGAGCTGCAGACAGAGGAAGGTCATGAACTATAAAACAACAGTGGGCATGGAGATAAGACTTCCCCGCACTGCCCTGCTGTTATCGCCGCCTAATTTGAAAATGATTATTTTGAGGACTGTTATCAGTCTGGGTATTTTCATTACAAGCCCATTAGGAGGGAACACTCCCTTCTGTTGAGCTTGGAAACCTGCTGATAATGGCGGATACCGGTAGTACGCAAAGTCTGCAAAGTAAGACCAGAGAGAGTGGAGACAAAAAGATGGAGTGAGGGGAAAGTTCAAGTCTGGCAAATCCTCACCTTGAAGCCCAGCAGAGGTGGCCTGGAGCAGCTGGTGACAAATTTCAGCAGCTTGCGCTTTTCTTCATCTGTAAATCCTTCAACCACCTCCCAGAAGATCTGGATGACAGGGTGAGTGGCTGAGTACCCACCTGAAGAAAATGATAATGGAAAAAAATAATATTGTAATTGAATTTCTCTCTTGTATGAAGGGATATTCCACCAATTTTATACAGAAAAAAACAAGACAGTAAGAAAACACTGAATAAAAATTAAAATTGGAAAAGAGATAAATGCAAGAAAAGTTTGACAATTGTGGAGCAAAATAGTTTTAACAACACCTACCTGAGTAGTTTGTGAAGTTTTTTAAGTCATCAAGACAAATTGGCACATGAGCCCCAGATATCAGCACCTATCAATATGTAAAAAGCACATTTTTAGTTTCTGGGAGTTACAAAGACACTTCAGCCTTTGGTTTTGCTTGTCATGTGCAGAATACCTGGATCTCCTGCTGGTCAAACATACGCAGCCACTCGAGGTTGACCACATTGGCCAGACCCTGTCTGAAGGCCAGACAGTGAGGCCTGATCTGCTTGTTCAGTCTGTAGTCAGCCACCAAATGGATGTAGGCTATCCGGTTTGCTGTGGTCACAGGAATGTCTTTGCCTCCCGGCTTCAGTTCGACCACCTAAATCAGAAAGGCACAAGGCATCTACACTGTTAGAGCTTTTATATATAATTAAATCTCAGTTTAAATTTGATGTATTCTGTTATTTAGCACTGTCGGGTAGCCAGATGACCAACCAACAATGCAAGTGGTTTAATTGTGCCAGATGGGTTTAATTCAATCACAGAAAGGTAATTAAAATGTTTTCCAGCAGCACTCTGATTAAAGGTGAGGCTCTCTGCGAGTGTGTGGTTAAGTGCATTTCAGTGTTTCTAAATATAGCGTGACCACTGAACATCTGGTCCAATACAATTTGGCCCAAGGTTCTTTTTTTCATTAGCTTTAGAGCAGTTAGCACTTGATAAGATGTGCTCATCTCGGTTCATAAAGCCGGGCGTGTGGTGACATCATAGCATCGACAGGAGGACTGAATGTAAGGTTCTTCTTTTCCCATCGCAGTTTTCCGATATTTTGCACATGTGAACCTGTGTTTTCACAAAATAATAAATTAGTTGCACAACTGTGACTTTAGGATCTCACTTTTAATTTAATTTCTTCTTTTATTTAACAACTTTTTACTAATTCTAATACCAAAAAAAAAAGTAAAAAATCTGACATAGCAGCAATGAGCAGCTTTCAGGGGTTAAAAAGGCTAAACAGTCGCTGCCTGAATTGCTGCAAATATTGCAACCTTGCACAATGTGACAAGGTGAAAAGTCTCACTGGTGCTAAAACTCCAGGCCAAATGCAAACACAGTCACACTGAGTTTCAGGAGATTCCATTATTCTCTATTTTTACTAGTGAGCATGTGTTATCTGCAACTGCTCTAAATATAGACATAACAACCTCACCGTGCCATTCTGTGACGTAAAAGGGTTTTCAATAATCTACATCAACACAAACAGGAATACTCCAACAATGAGTAACAGTACTGTCATAAAACCAAACTGACAAAAACTTAACAGAATATTTGTTTAACAATTTATAGTGAAAAACTGCTGTAGACATGAATCAGCACCTCTCTGACGCATTCCTAACAGAAACCGATAAGTTTCAGAAAGGTATTGAGTGGTGCGATACTGAATTACATTGTACTATGAGGCATTTCTTGTATTTTGCCAGCCCCCCGATTTCTGGGTAAAGCATGTGGCTTCATTGACAGGTAATCATTTTCAGCCTTTTTCTTCCTCACAGTAGATTCTGATTATGTGCTAATGTAAGAGAATTACTGTTGTTATCTTGCTTGCTTTGGCTATCTCGCGAGGGCAAATGCAGGGCAGACTGCTCCCGGGTGTGTGCCTAATCTTTCACAAATTGTTTTCCCTATCGTGTTTGCGATGCCCTATTTGCGACCAGGAGGGCTACATTGTAACTCAACCGTTTCAGGTGTTGTTTGAGAAGAGCTAATAAGACGCGTTAAGGCCCTGAGCAAACAGGGTCTCCGTGTAGAGTGCAGGTCTGGGCTCTGGTGACTCAGAGTGGAGGTGGTGGCGGCTCGTCTCCGCAGCCTTGAGCTTTGGAGGGGGCATGCTTAAGAGCAGCTAGCTGCTTCTGTCAGGCGTGTTCTGAGATAATTTCTGAGGAAAAGGCAGGTGGAACGGTCAACAGAGCTGCTGTGTTCCCTGCACTGCAGCAGGGCATAGGGCGACAGTGGCAACGTGCTTTATCTCTCTCAGGGCTGAAAAGTGGTACATCATGAGGGAAATGAATTATTAACGCCACAAAGAGAAACCAAACAGGAGGAAGGAAAGACGTCTGATCGCGAGGTATTGACCAGGACAGAAACAGAGATGGAAAAATGAGCACATGTGAATCATTTATCCAACTCAATCCCACCCAGTCTTTAGCCCTGGTTCACCTGAGCTTCTCCCAGATCGTTGTTGACCACAGTGAAGTTGAGGCCCAGCTCCTCCACGTCGCCCTCGTAGCTCTTGAGGAAGAGAAGGTTCCGGTACATCTCTGGGTCCAGTGAGGCCAGGTGGTGGATGTCCACATCTGCGCTGGTTCCCAGAAGTTTGGAGAGGAAGAAACTGGCAAAGGGCAACTCTACCAGCATGTTCTCATACAGCGCCTGTGGAAAAGTGTGGAAGTTAACTGCAGCACATGCTAGTATTGTCTTCACTAAAATGTTAATCAATATACAAGGGTTGTTTATCGCTTGGGTGTCACTGAACAAAACATCGAAATTAGGTAACCAAGGAAACTAAATGGTCAGCATCAAACATAATGTTACTGAGGACATATTTAAAAAAAATCTGAGTACAAGATACATTACACGGCAACTAATCTTTTGTATCAAAGAATCAAGTGATAAGATCTGATCAAATCAGACTGACTGAAAGCAAAACACAGTGCACAATCTATCTAAAACACATAGGCTTCTTGTTCACTGGACTCAAACTTTATAAATGCCAATTCTCACCTTGACCTTAAATGCCATTAAGAACCACAGCCGGGCAGGTGACTCATAAAACCCAAAGCTAATGTACTGGAATAGTCCGAAAAAGAGCCCATTGGAGACATTAAAATATACAGGTCTTTATAAATGATAGCGCTAAAAACCCTGACCGCATCAGCTAAATGGATTATAAATCTAGAGGATTTCCATAATGCATGCATCTTAAACACACACGCACACATAAATCACAGCTATTTTCTAAACACAGGTTAATTGCACAACTTCAAACATTGTCTATTTTTTATGCAAAATAATCCACTTAGTATTTCTCTCGTGGCCGGTGCTCGTTTCAGACCATATGCGCCGCGTGGCCCCTTGAAACCTATCAATAACACTTGTGCCGGGAAGAGGCAGCAATAAGTATATGGAAAAAACCTGTAGCCTTATTTTTTCAATGCCACTTACTTTATTTATGAGTGTTTATTGCCAGAAATTGTGCCAAAATGACTTGGGCTGGAAAGAATTAATTATTATTGCCCAGGCCTTTTAATATAAGTGAGTGCGGTGGCAACGCAATTAAAGCAGATCGCGGCACCATCAGGTGGAATAAATGCCAACAACATTGCAGGTGCATTCTGTTAGCTGCCAAATAAATTCCTTAATTTACAACATTAAGAATCAATAAAATTATAATGCCTTTCAAACGCATCTCTATCAATCAGGGGTGCCCACCTCACACATCTCACAGGGAGCTATCAGTCGCTAGAGATCAGTGAGAGGAGACTGTTCAGGAAGAAGGAAGGAGGATCAACGCTTCCTCACCCTCGCATTTTACAAAGTGAAAAGGCCACTGCTGATGAGGCTGGAGGTTTTGTACTAATGAGAGACGAATGAAGCACAAAGAGAATTCTCGCCGGTCGTAACACATAATGAGAGAGGTTACGTCGCAGTCCCATCAAGCTTAAATTAACTTTTGAATTTTTAAGCTGAAGCGATGGAACCACAAAAGCAAAGTAACCTGTTTTCATGTTTCCCCATTTGTGGCTTAAATCTTTCAGCCTGTCAGCTGGGTGGACAAGTGAGGAAGAAGGATGATGACCGGCCTCTATTCTGATGTTCAATCCCATTTCAGTGAGTACCCTAGACAAGCCACTCCTGCCTGTAATACATCACCTCCACAACAATGGCACGCCTCGGACATTAATTAACAATATTAATCTCCTGTGTCCTTTGAGCCGCAATGTGCACTGTGCACACTGCAGCAGTGGTGATGCAATCCCAATCTATATAAACGGTTGCCTTTTATCCAGGCAATAACGGCACTAAACAAATATCAATACACCTCTCAAATGGCCACTCAAACGTCCATTTTTATGGAGAAAGAGGAACTTAAGGTAGGGTTAATTGAAAGTCAAATTCAAATTAATTTCCTCCTGCCTAATTGCCTGAACCATTAGCTACGGAGTGCACAATATCGTAGACGTAGGGGTGGGGAGCTTGTGCCTGCTGATTGATCATTTCTCACTTGTGCAGAATACAGAGGAGAAGAAGAAGAAGAAGAATAACAGGAGGAGGAGGAGGAGGAGTTACGATGCTCTGATAAGTGGACCGGACCAACTAGGGCCGAGCAGCAGAGAAGAGACCTGGATGTTCCTGACTGTAAAACAGATCAAAATGCTATTACCACATGCTTTGAACGCTTATTTATGTCCTGTCTCTGTGGGCCTGCTGATTTAGTAGCAGCCAAATGCAATCACTACACAAACAAGAGGTAGGAATCATCGGCTAATGGAAGCCCTAATTGAGAGGCGACCGCTTGTCATGAGGTAATTCTTCTCCTGGTCGAGATGATAGCCCCCCACGAGGAAGGCATCTTGATAAACAATCACTACCACATGCATTAGGGATGATTTAGAAACATTAGGCTCTAATAAATAGTGCCATCAGAGGAAGCAAGGGGCAGAAAAACAATGCCGTCAACAGATTACGCACAGGGCTAATTAACAAAGCTCAAGCTTTTGCATGAGTGCCAGGTTCAAGTTCTAACCCTCAACCCTAAAAACTTTTTTAAGATATATGACGGCAGTTTCTCTAAACACTGTCAGCTTACAAAGCAAACAAGCCAGATATTTGCATATAATGTGAGGGTACTTTTTAGTTAATAACTTCCTTATCTTCAGACACACTTCAGGTTCATATGAGGGCATCTCGCGTCATGATTTTATTAAGTGACATTTTTGAGGCTCACCTTTCCGAGGATCCTGCCCAGAAAATAGTAGTGTCTCGTGAAGGAGTCTCCCACCAGCATCTCGGCAGCAGGACTGGGATACAACAGGCCCTCGTTGGTTGTCTTGAAGAAGCCCTGGTTGGGGTTAAAGCCCGACTTCAGGAGTTCGTTGAGGAACTCCCGAAAGATGCCGCCACCGTCAATGCCCGCCTCATCTAGACCATGAGCGTTCAGCAGATGGACTCTGATCCTTTTCTTTAGGTCGGGTTCTAATATGAGGACACAGGACATGAGGAAGAATTCATGAAGGTACAGAAAGACTTTGTCTCATAATGTTCATGGTCACATTAAAACTGAATTTATTTTCACTCCATAAATGTCACCCACAGCCTCCTCAAGATCTCTGTGTTCTTCATTATTTACTTCGCATTTATTTTATAGTAATTTCCAGCAGAGAAATTAATTGAGACAGACTGATAGTATCTTCTGTGTAACGACTGATGGTTATGTTCCCAGTTTATTATGGTTATAAACCTATTTTCTTCTATGAATTGGAAAGAATTGCACATAAACTGAGGCAAGTATTACTTTTAACAACAAAGCAGCTGTTTTTGTCTCATTAAAGTATTTTCTATTTATAATGAGTAAAAAAAATACATTTGGCTAATGGTTTTTATAAAAAGACAGCAGGGAATAAATTATTTAGATATTATATTAATAGAATGACATCAGTTATAGAATCGCACATTTTTCAGATTATGTAAAACTGCCGTTTGACCTTGTTTCCTCTTCCAAATCAGGACGCTGAATCTCTAAATCCTCTGGATCAGTTATTTACAACGTGCTACTTTTACCTTCTAAGTGCAAGGCAGGGATTCCAAGTTTCTAATCGTATAAAATTACTACTGGAGTATTTGAGGTAAAAATGATCAATTGCCAGTTTTTTCCTTTCAAACATACTTAGCTGGTCACTTTGCATGTGTTTTACTTTGGTAATGAATGCACACCGACAACATTTCACGAACATGCTTTGCCTGCGTAGCCGCAAATGCTCATGATTTTATACATCTCATTTTTTGTCTTTTATTTTGAATTATTTCTATCATAGCAGGATATCCACTCGCTTTTAAGAAGCTATGTTGAAAGTGAGACTTATAAACCACTGTGCATAATACAACAATAAAATGTAAAACACACACTTAAAAAATACAATAAAGCAATGCTGGATCTTTAACAAAAACCTACATTTTCAAACTTTTTAGCCCACTTTGACAAACTGACACTAGTAGAGGTTGGCATTTATATAGAAGGTAGCGCAGCTGTGGACTTCTTACCCTTTCATACCCTCCAGTACAACTGTTAAACATATCTTGGTGATATGAGACATGTCACTTGCATTATGTTGTCTCGGCTGTTGGTGATGAATTCAACACTTTATTGTTAAATGTCTGTCTGTGATTGTAATGTCTTTTTTCTGTGGTTGAATTCATCTGACAGTTAAAAAAGCCTCAAAGAGAAGTTCAGCTGAAAGGACAATAAACAAAACTCACTGTTTTCCAAATGAGTCACTGGGTATCTGCCTTTCTGAGTAATTTTATATATTATCTAATATGTCAGTTTTCTTTTCACCAACACTGCCACAATGTTATCAAGTTGAATGACTTTATTGATTAATCAACTAATTAATAACTTAAATAGCATTGGTGTAACCTATTATTAGTTTCACCACTATATCAAAGCTGGGGTTGTCAGTATTTTTTTCAGGAACAAATGCCATACTAGCCTTTTCAACATATTGTAATTCAAGTGGTCACACAGTAAAGTAGATTTCTGTACCTCTCTTGACTCTGCTTTCAGGCTTTAAAAAATCTAGCGCCTAGCAACAAAGTCGGCAGCAAAGTGGGTGGAACGAGCTGCATTGGGACAAACTTTTACTCAGAACAGCCGGGTGTGAATCCTGTGTGAAGCCACATGTGAATGTTGACTTTTAGCTTGACTATTTTTCATTTTTAAATTCCGGAGGTTCTTTGTTACAAGTAAATGCAAAACAAGGTTATGATGCTTTCAATAATTTTCCCAATTAAAACAGAAAATCTTTTTTTTCTTCACTGGTCTGTTCAGCTTTGATATTGTGTACAAAGTGCCCTCTGTTTAAGAAAACTACATTTCAATATTGTTCTGCAGTGGAAGAGTCAATAATGCGTGTTATTTTGGCAGTAGTTAGGTGTGTCTGTGTGTCAGTTTCCACGGTGGGCTAATTCTGTGAGCGTGTTTGCCTCCTCTACCGTTTCTCAGTGCAAGTTCAACGTACAAGTTCATTATTGGGTGGTGTGAGACTTAACATCACTCTAAGCAAAGGTAATTATAGCTTTGATGTACCTTTAGACAGAATACATTTACTATACATTTTTAATTCATGGTTGTGTTCTTTATCAGAGTTTGGAACTTTTTCTTTGGCGTGAAAAGTTTTGGGAACCCATGCCAACAGAAAAAAGTGCTTAAAAATATAAAGAAATGAATTGTAGGTGTAGCGTGTTGTGTTGTTTTTACCCAACAGACATATTTTGCAAGAAAGCTTGACCTGCAGAATATTCAAATCAAATTCTATAAGAGGTCATCTTTCAGAATAATTAATGTACAGTGATAAATCAAGGCAGCTATAACTTATAGACACATAAATGATATAGATCATGTCTTCAGCCCAGGTCTCCTACTACTCTTTTTAATCAGATTGCCCCCACTGAAGTACCCTTTCAAATTCAAACACAAAAGAGGTGACTTAAAATAATTGATTCTGCTTTTTATGTGATCCATTATAATAATCGGAACCACAATTATGGTTTACTGAAATTCAATACTCTGCACAAGGAGAGGGCTAACCTTCATCTTTAATGCTAACCGGAGCCTTGATTCTCAATATTAAGATTTTATAGAGCATAACAAGAGATTCAGTGACAGCGTCAACATGCTTCCTTTCCTCTTGCGTTCGTCATCTTGAAATAAAAGCAGGAAACAACACAGCTGGTACAGCACATTCTCCTGACAACATGATATAAAGTGTTTTCGGCTTCACGTGTTCAAGCCAACAAATAATGCACACATCTAACGGGCCTTTTATTGGAATTGCAGTGCAAGCCGTACCGTTTTCTGGAGAGAGTTTATCGTAGGCGTCTTCATAGATGTAGTTGCGTCTGATGGTGACATTGATGCCATCAGGGAATGGCCCGTCCCCTTGCACGTCCCGTTTGTCAGCATAGATTAACCTCTGGAAGATCTACAAGGCAGATGTAAACCCGGTGGCAGGGTCAGCGGCAAATCCTTTAAGTTATAAAAATGTTTTATTCTGACCATAGGTTTTGCAGTATGTATGTTGTACGCTGAGAGTGAAGGTAGCAACAGGGGCACTGGGTTCCAAGCCAAAAAATCCTGTGATTAATTCAAAATGAATTGATTATTACTGTTCTCGGCCACAAGCAATAAATAATAAAAATAGTAATAATTTATGACGTGTGACTGCATACTTTCTATCAATAATACAACTCAAAATTCAGTCACACATTGGATTTAAAATGAAGACTGTGCAAAGCAACACATTGCTGTATATCACGTTGTCACCAGCAGTGTTAGTGTAATAGAATACATAATAGAACAACAGCCCAGCAGCCTTTTCACTCAACTACAGCACGATTCCACTTCCAAAATAGTGCTAAATGCATACTAGCATGCACCTTTATCATACTGTGTATAAAAAACATTTTACATCTGTCACTGATTGAATTTTTATACCAGGGAGACTCTTGCAAAATACAGTTATGTTGCAGGTGTGTGTGTGTGAGACAGTGATACAGTACCTTCACCCGCTCCTCGAAGGGAACTACAAAAGGGAGCTCTGTGAGGATAGCCAGATGTCTCTCTTCGGACACGGACAGCTGTGGAGGCTCTGAACCAACTGCAGACACAGACACAGTGTATGACATTCAGTCACTTGATTGACAGATTGTCATGCTTTTAACTTGGGTCAAGAAACACTTCATATTCATCGTGTTTATACGATGTTTTAATTAAGCCGTCTGTTTTCTCTTTCACCGAGTGTCAAAGGCCTGAGTCAACTACAGGCAAACAGAGCTAAATCTGTTTCACAACCTCGCCTGGTGAATTTTTAGCTGGTTAAATACTTTGCGACATCATGTGTCTTCTGTGAGTAACACTCATCTAACATTGTCACTCCTCACTGCTAAGCACTGTGATTAAGACTCTGTCCACTGTTTACAGGCCAGCCATTAAAGACATTTCCATCCTACAACCTTTTAATTACACCCTTTTAATTAACCCAACTGTGAGCTGCCTGTCCACCTGCAGGGCTTTATCCATTAGGCTGATGTTTGCTTTGTATTAAACTCAGGGTTTGGACTGTTTAGCCCACAAAAAAAACTGCCACAATAGCTAAACCGCTCTTCACCCTCCTCAGTTGTGTCCACTGCAGCTCAATTATTCTGCTCAATTAGTCAATCTGATCTGCATTTTCCCATCAGGTTTCCATCTTTGAGGAGAAATATGGCCTCGGAGTGGTCAATACGTTGCTCGTTCATCAGCCACGGGCCTGTCCATTTAAGGAAATGAGAAAAGGCCAGACAAACACATGGACCAGATGTGGCTGAGTTCATCAGGTACTTTCACACTAATTGAATTTATCCCATACAGCCTCTGAGTGGCATTAGGTAGATCATACACACATTGTTATCAGCTTGTTTTCACACCATACTTCACAGAAACCTGGGGTGGCTCAAAGTGAACCTGATGAAGCCCTGCCTGCGTCAGTCTATTTTCCTCTGAGTGCCTAATTGAGTCAATGAAGAGAAAATGTGGTTAATTTATCTTGGTGGAATGGCGAAGGTTAATGACTTTTCTGAGCTACTCCCTGTGAAGTGCTGTTATGAAGAATTTGATTCAATCTTAACGAATTAACAGTCACTTATTTGGGAAGAATCTATTTTCTATCACCGTTCACAGCTCAAACTTTTTCCCTTCATCAACTACAGACAGAAACTAGTGAGATGACTCCTGGCCTTTCCTATGGGATATAATATCAATGTGTAGCTCTATAGAACATGAAAAACAAACACAGCGAAGGTGACTTTGGACAGCAATTACTGTGATTTTGTGGGCTATGTATCAAGCTGACACAAGCATTATATGATTCTAAATTTTCATCCACTGCCAAATGCCAATGGAGTAGCACTGTGGTGTACATTAAATACAGTACAGTGGGTATAAAGCTCAGTAGCTTTAGCTGATTACAAATGCACAATGGGCAGTTCTAAACCATAACTAGGAGATAACTAGGCTCTAGTTTTTTAAATGCGAAGGTCAATTAGTCTAATGGATTGAAATGTTTTGCAGGCATTTTAGAATAAAATAAAAACTACAAGGACTTCATTTTGACACTAAAAGAGTGAGCAGGGAGTAACATGAGCTTAAGACGGTTTGTTAATTTAAACACAGTTAGCATAAAAATATTTAACAATCAACTTTGGATATTACATCTTTGCAAAGCACTACATCTGGCTCTGATGTTTTGTTTTTGTTTTTTTTGTTTTTCAATTGAAGGAAGGGAAACACAGATTCTGTTACCGTCAAGTGTTGACTGAAGTGGCCCGATGCGGCCCATCCTTCGTGCTCTCCACACATGTCTCGCAGATGGGACGTACAGCTGGGTGACCTGGAGGGAAAAGAGGCAGGTAATGAAAAATATGAAGCTCCTTCTGCCAGTGTCTTTGGGTCTAGACTTAAAATGAGGAGTACTTTAGAATCCCAAAGCTCTGAGCATCCTCCTAGCATAAAAAAAATATCCTGTCATGGTTTTTCCAGTGGGTTAGTGTTGCTTTAGTAACTGTGCCTCCTTGTATTGATGTGGTATTTTTTTCTTGTAGTGGCAGTTCTGCAATGTATAATAAATTACATTAACTGTTCAGGGTTTAATTTCTGCAAAGCACTTTGTAACTTTCTGTATAAACGGCTATAATTTGATCACTGCTTTATGAAATAACAGAGCTAATAGGATGTGTGTCCCTCCTGCTTCCACTTTTACATCAAAGACCTCTCCCTATCTCAAAGCACATGCTCACCTCCCATATCTGAAAAACACTATAAATAGCTTTTTCATTTATTTTTAGTTCTGTTTTTTCACAGACTTTAGCCACAGCTTTGAGTATACAGCTCTGTATTATTAGGCATTTTATTCATGGACATTTTGTTTCCCCGTAATGCTTAAATTTGACATAATATCGCATGCAACAATTAACAGTAAGGTAAAAACTAAGCAGCTGTGTTGACAGTTGAATACCTTATCAGCTCTGATGTTGACCTCCTCAGAGAGCCAGTGACCTGCTGGACAGAAGGGTCGTCTGATGTCGCGAGCTTTCACCATCTTCACCAAGTTAGTGATGACCTGGGTTGTAGATCAAATACACGGACAGAAACACGCATGCAGCCATCACATTAACATCTTTAACTCTGGCAACTGTATCCTCGCAAAATTCACAAAAAGCACATTTCAAGTACGTCTCATAGCGGAGAACAAAAGACTGATTAAGAGAGTTTTTTCGTGATTAGGCTGTTCAACAGGATGAGGTGCCTTCTCTGAGAGGGGAAAAAAAAGCAATTTGAGAATTTAGCCATTAGTGCGCCATTTATGGGGAGTATAAAAGAAAAACGACCTGCGCCGTCCCTCAATGTCCAGCCCTGTTAATTACTAGCGAGGTCTGCTGACATCAGCCATCGGGCAGAGAATGCAAAAGGCAGAGCAGCGTCGGTTCACCGTGCTGCAAGTACGAGCGTGGCTTTCGCTGGCCTGCAGAAGGCTAATGGTTACAATTATATTTAACTCTGATGTAATGTTGTCACTTTGTAACCTGAACAGAGACACATCTTGGCTCTGAAGTGGTTAGCTGTGGTTTTTCTGAACCTTTGTACGCTTGCATGACACTCTAAAAGGCAAAACAAAAAACCTGATGTGAGAAAGTATCAATTAAAATGCTGCATTAAAAAAAAAAAAAAAGGGAATAGCTTTTGTATTCATAAACTGCGTCTTTATCAGAATATCAATCAAAGTGACACATTGGGACTAATGTCCTGAGAGTAACAGGCTTCCTCGGGAAACATTTCAGCAGCTTTCAACTGTTCATAAGAGGCTCCCCTGTTGCTATGGCAGGTTCCAGACAGCTACTGAATAATCTCACGCATGTCATTGCATGAACATGTGACATGTCCACCATAATGGCTACAGCCAGTCAATTTCCATATAATACCCCGGCTAGATTATTTCAATCGAAATGTTCTTTTCTAAAGCACGTCATTTTCATAGAGCGACAATCAATCTCGGCCAATCACCGGGAGGCAACCAGAGTCCGCAATAATGGCAAGTGCAAAATGCTGTAAAAGGCCCGTGGCGATGGGTTTGGAGCAGACCTACCCCCTGACTCTGGGAATGAATAAGCATTCCTTAATTAGCCCATCGGGTTAAGTGCAAACCTTAATGGGCCTTTCCCAAACTCCAGCGTGACATCGTTCTCCAAACATGGCCAAGAAGAAAGTTCCATTAGCAATATTAATACAAGCTTAGTTGATCATTTTCATTCAATTAACTTCTTTCAATTAAATAGATAGCTCGACAATGGAGGTGATAAAAGATGGGGAGGGACGGCTGATGACACGAACCAAACATTAGCGTGTTAGGGGTCAGCGACGTTAAACCGACTGTAAATCCCACCGTTCAATTTGGAAAATGCATTTCCCCTGCTCCCCACTTCTTTAATGGGTCGTTTTAGCTGACAAGAGGCCTTTGAGCAGATCTTTTATGAAAATTCTAGACGTGCTCTTCGCGTATTTGCCACCTTTCACAGAACACCAGTGTTCACTTTCAAATCACAGCCAAGAGCAAAGTCGCTTAAGTACCGTTTCCCTGATAGTGAAAGGAGGAGAGGAAAGAGGAGAAATGAAAGGGGAGACACGGAATGAGAGGAGAATTAAGTTAATGCTGTTTTCTGCCTCATTAGCTCTGGGTAAATAACCAATGGATGACCTCCGTGGCGCTCCGTCTTGTCTTTGCCTGTTCATGCATACATGCTTCACTTCCCCTAACACAGACAAGCATTAGACCACTCTGCCTCAGCGCACAGGGAGACTATACAACAAGCTCCTGTGTTGCGTATCATGGTTTACAACATTAGATATCAATGGAAAAGAATAAAAAACATTCAGCATTATTCTAAGTGGGTCTGATACAAGGATGTCAGTGCAAATATTTTTCAAATTTTTTTGACAGAATGTGATGCAGAAATGACTACGCTCCACGACATACAATCACATTTTCAGACTTTATTTTCTATTTTAATATTCTTTTCTTCCCATTTTGTCGTGCTACTTAATGTTCAAATGCTTTAAATATCTCTCAAGAGCGTAAACTTAGTTCCTGTGCTTGAGAAGTGCTGCCTTGTGATCGAGTGGTAAACACATTTGTAAGCAGAGCGCAGGCAAAAAGAATAAAGCCAATGAATGAGAAGGACTTTTTCTGCCATCTTACTACTCAGAACTTCCAACTTTCATTTTGAGAGACAAACAGTAGAAATGAAAAAGTTTGAAAGTTTTATATAGTGACGGATAATACTTTTATTTGGATAGTATTTTTTATTTTTTTAAATAGTGCCAGCTTGATTAACACTACACACATCTATACAAGCATCCATCATTATTTAGTTAATTGTAGCGTCAGTGTATAAAGTTGCCATAAGCACCAAATTTGCAACAATTTTCCCAAAGACTTCTTGAAGAAACGTGCTATTTACTAACTGAATGCTGACACAAGTTTCTCATATTTCCACATGATGAAGTAAGTTTTTATAAGGTGAAAATAAGAAGATAGGTGCACTTACAAAATAGACAAATATAAAGGAAAAAATGACACACACTCATCTGCAATGTTTAGACACCGCTATAGATCTTACCTTGAAGAGCTGTACCCAGCGCTTCTGCTCAGCCTGGATACGCTGCTGAACCGCGGTGTTGGTCTTGACGCCCACGCTGCGGAAGGCAGCCATGTACTCCTCTCTGTGCTCTGTTTTGGTCTCCGGGTAGGCCAACTTGATGATACCCAGGCATGCATCTCTCAGACAGCGAGACAAAGTCACCAGCTCTGACAGTGTGAAGGGCATCATGGAGGACTGTGTCTGACCTGTTGAGAGGGAGAACATATTCACTGTCTTTAACAGATATTGATCTCCATATTTACATGGCAGCAACAATAAAAACCATAAAACATGTAAATATATTATTTGGCTACAAGCACCAAATATGGGACATGGAAGACTACAGATGAAAGTAGCAATCAGGAATATATAATCTCCAGCAACCTCTGTAGAATTTATTCTACTCTCAAACAAATGCATTAGGTAGTCAAACTAATGACAGCTAAATCATATATTTTTTAAGTAGCTGGATTTGTTGAATACCTTCCATTTCATGCCCAAAAAACTCGCTGTCATGCACGGAGATAAGAGAGTGACTGAAGAGAGAGCTGAAGAGATAGAAGAGGGGGATGATGCGGTTGGAGTCCTCGAATGACATGGGAGACCCTCGTGAGATCAGCTGTAGCAGCGGCACCATAGAGCTAAGAAGGCAGATACAGACAGTAGAAACCAACCGTAAGGAACATTGTGTATGTAGCAGGAAAATGCTGTATACAAGGATGAATATGTGTATATAAGTGTGCACATAAAGACAGAAACACATATGCTGATAATCAATACTAAAGTAGCTCACCCAGTGATCATTTTAGTTGTCATGGAAGTTATCAGGTGCCAGAGATGCCTCAGGAAACGTGCATTGAAAGCTAAACTGTACAAAAGTCTGCAGAGAACAAAAGCAGAGGGACACATAAAACTCAAACATTTATTATGATTACAGCTCTCAAGAAGAAGAACGGACATGACATGAGTTTGAGAGGTGTTTCAATCAAATGACACAATCAGTGTGAAGAACAATAAAATTACTCTCCGCCGATCTGTCTGTGATGCGGAGACTGTTAACTTTGCCCTGTTAACCAGAGGACACGAAGAAAATGGAGGGAAAAAATAAATGACACTGTTAACCAACATCTCCCTCATAGAATTTTCTTGGCCTTTCTCTCCTTTTATACCTTGTGAGGGCCAAAAGGAGATTAAATGAGCCATTAAGCTTTATTTAGGCGAGGCACCTTCCATTAGTAAACTAGTTGCTGGCGAGGGTGCCCAGCTTGGGTCATAAACAGCCCTCTGGCTTCCTGCTGGAGCCCCATTTAACTTAATGGCCAAGGGAGCTAGACAATGGAGGACGTAGGAGGAGGGGAAACCTGGTCCTCGCTGTGACCCCGCAGCACCAGCATGCTTCCACACTCACAGTGAATTACATGATAACACTGAGGAGGGCCCACATACCTTGCTATAGTCGGTCTGCACTCAACGGGCGATGGCACCAAGGTGTGAAGGTGCTCTTTGTTCAAGTGTGTGTGTGTGTGTGTGTGTGTGTGTGTGTGTNGTGTGTGTGTGTGTGTGTGTGTGTGTGTGTGTGTGTCTGTGTGTGTGTGTGTGTACTCCTAAATTGCATGGCTTTTCACACAGAGGGTAAGTACAGGTGACAATAATGTGGTAAGTAAGCTAAAAAGCAAAATAAAGTGCCCCTGCATATAATAGGCCCTTGTCTAAGAGTGACAGCCCTGACACCTATAAGGATGCCTGCCTTTAATAGGGCTGCGTCATGTATTCACAGCCACGGAGAGGACTAGAGGTCAACAGAGAAAAAGAGCAAAGAACGAGCGGGAAAAGGGAAAATCCTATATTTGCCAAATATTCTCATCTCAGTGTCAAGGTTCAAATTCTAGTTCCATCATCCAATCTACCAAAACCCATTCAAAAATCCTAAAATGGAAATGAACATTGGGAGCAGAGTGTCAGACAAACCTCAATATGGCCTGAAAGATGGTTTGTGCCGAGCACAGACCATCTGTCAGTACAACAAGGCTCAGGAGAGAAGCGAGGAGCGGTGCTGTGGGCTCATAACAAGTGATGCGGGTGTTTGATTGAAATGGGAAACAAAGCACTAAATGCCAGCTGACATGCTGATTTACAGCCTGAGAGAACCCAAACCCCCATTTCAATCATGGAATGAACCACTAATAAACAAAGTCAAGACATCAAAAGAGGTTGAGAGCACATGTGTGTGTGCGTGAAAAGCTGCTTGATGAATAATGCCCGGATCATTTCATTTTGTGGTAATGAAAGAATCTCTATTCAGCAGAAAAAAATAACAGCCGAGCTCGGGTCAGATGTGATACCACGAAGCCTGAACGAGCTTCCACCTAAATACAAATTGGTTTTGCAGACTTCTGTATTAACATCATTATATCATGACAACACAAAAATCACAGCAACCTTTCAAAAGCAAATGAAGGTCACTTTCATCAGAGTGACCCCGTTAGCGACGGGGTGCTACACTGGGTGCGACCAAACGATCAAAGCGGAATTACACCAAATATCCAACCCTCACAATTAAAGTGAAATTACAGCATACTCTCCAGAACAAACCTGGGATAAGTGTAATTAGCAAATCAATCCAACTTCCATTTTGGTCTCAGTTAACCGTTCGGCTTTTTTTCTAATGAAAAAAAGAGCAAGCAGAGTGCAGCTTCATGAGACATTTTACATATTTATTAAAAAGACAGCGTGCTGGGCTGGCTGGACGACTGGCCGGCCTCTCTTTTTTTTTTTTTTTTTTTGCTGTAAGAGCAGTAAATCAAGGCCGGGATGCAATTTGCTCCCCTTAGCCTCTTGTAAAGCTATCCCGTCCACTCCTGCAGTGATTAATCTTTCTCAGTGAGCTAATTATTTTGTACAGATATCCAATAATGATGGAAGACGAAGGACAGGATTTATGGTAAAAGCGGAGAGAAGGAGGAAGCCGTAAAAAAATAAGAGGAATGTGGAGATATAAACCGAAATTCTTCTAAATTCTCATTTGAGAGCAATGGCGTAAAATTGCTAGTTGAGAAGTGGACTGAAACTGCACAGTATTTACAACGAGGGAAACTACTTAACGATTTTCCTGATATGCATCACTTGTGGTAAGCTAGGGCTTTAGAAGTAGTAATAACAAAAATGATATGTAATAGAGTACAGTTGCTAATGTGATATGAATCGTTAGAAATCCACATCCCCACCCTCACATACAAATCACATGACAGCTACTGGCTTCCCATGATAATTAACTAGAGCAGGTTGACCATCCATGAAGCTCAGTCTAGATCACCTCCTGCCAGTCAATGCACCATCCAGCCCCCCACACTACCTCTGACATCCTGGCCCTAATGTAATCAACCTGAGAAGGGGTAATTGCCCTCATCCAGAACTGACAGCTTCCCTGACATCCCTGCTTCCTCTGCCGGTTGTAAATGCCAGTGGGTGCGGACCACTGATAACTGCCTGCCTGCCTCACTTCACCGTTATTTACATTACTGCTTACAGCGCGGAAACACATAAAGACACAGTTTTCCTCTCAATCAGGTAGGTGTGTAAACAAGCTCTTTGAATGCAAGGCTGACTTCGACGAGACGTGTAAAATGTTATGACATCAAATAAAAAAATGAAAAGGCTTTAAATTTATTTTAATGTTATGTGTTGATTCAGAGACGCTTGCTTCACTGTGAGGTTCATCTTGGTTACAGTTAGCGGATTTTACTACCAAAAACAAATGGTTGGAATTATGTAGTGCTACTAAATTATAAGCTATAATGGCGTGTTGTTCTGTAATGTGTTTTGGGTTCTTCCTAAAGAAGCTGGTCTCATCTGGTTCGTCTCTTCGTACCTGACTTTTGGCACCATGAGGCGATGCTGCACCATGAGTGTGTGACAGATGGATGCCATCATGGTGAAAACCTCCTCACTGGCTGAATCCCGCCACACCAGGTTCAGCAGGGCGTTAGTCTGCTGCTTGGTGTCCAGCTTGTGGACACACTCCTCTGTTATCAGCTGCACAGAAATCCGAGTGTCATCCTAACAGAGAAGGAAACAGATGTTGATTTAAAGCCTGGAATGAACAAATGTGCATAAGACAAAAAATCTATTTATTTTAGTTTATCATAAAGGCATGATTAGTGATTATTTTAGCCTTTGTTAGCAATTATATTATGAAGAACCAGTTTAATTTGGGCTTATTGACATTCCACACTATGTCTCACTCTGTTACTAAAAACATGACAACTTGTCCACTCAGTCGAAATCTCTTTTAAATGTATTTCTGGCCACAGACAGGAGACAGAGCAAGTGAGACGAGGAATGGCAGCCAGTAAAGGTTTTGATTACAAGGTCAGTCTTTTAAACCAAGGATGCCCAACCAGGTGCAGATCAGTGACATTACATGTACTTGTGTATTTGGCACTAGCAGAGTTGCAATATTGTACTTGTAAGTCAATATGAAAAGGCATAATATCAATATAGTACTATGCTGCAGGCCCAAAGAGCACATTTTTATTTCAGTTCATCGACATTATGGCTTCAGATCAGCATTTCTCATTATAATGCCTGTCATTTGTTATTACACACAGACAGCATCTTCTGTGGGGCATCTAAGTTGAGCTTTTATGTAAACTGTCTCGACTATGAGTGACTATTCATTTGCTATAGTTACCCATATGGGTTGTGCTATTTCAAAGAAAATGGACAAACATCACACAACTGTGTCATAGCTTTAATAAAAACTAAGATGAATAGGATCTAAGCTTTGCCAATGCTTGTAATGCTGCAGGTTTTTATGTCTAGATAATCTGCAGTCACAGCAAAAGTAATTTTGCTTGGATTTAAGCATAGAAATAAAAGTGAAAATTTGCCTAATTTGTGCTCCTGTTGTCATATTTATGATGTAAGAAGCAGTTCTTGCTACATTTGAGTTTAAGGAGAAAGACGCCTCCTTAGCCTCATCGGCACTGACATCTCTTATGTATCAACATCAGATGTTGAATAAACCTCTGATATGAACCTGATAAATCACTGATACAAGCTTTGCTCTAAACCTGGTATAATCCCATGACCAGGTTATGTTTTAATAGAGGATGTGTCCATGTATATGGTGATTGTACCTGCATGGGTAGGGGATGGATGCCAGCATCATCATCATCCTCTGAGTCGCTGCTCACTTCTGGCCTGCTGCTGCTTTCTGACACTGGCAGCAGTGGCAGCAGCGTCTGCAGAGCCCGGAGGTACAGCAGGAGACCCTCCTCTGATAGTGAGCCTGTCAACACACACTCATCAGTACGATTCACATTAATCTATAAATCACTCTCATTACCACACAGTAGAAACAGGGCACGTGCTGGACAGACAAACCGGCCTGTGTGCAACGCTTGAAACTTTGGCACTCACCTAAGCAGTTCTCTCCTGCAGAGAGGACAAAATAAAACAGCCACGGTGCCTGGCTCTGTGCTGCTGAAGAAGAGTCAATCGTGGCCTGGAGGGAGCTCAGAAAGGCCTCGAATGGGAATGAGTGACGGAAGTCCGACAGTGCCGGGATGAAGAAGTGAAAGATCTGCTCGGTAAACGGCGCAGAAATGAACTCCTCGGTAAAAGCCGCAAATACAAACTGCCTGTAAGACAACGGACAAATCAGACATTAATGCGCTGCACGAAAAGGGTAGGATGATATTTTTCAAAACTGAATCACAAACTGTTTGTTCATAGAGAAATTAGCTAAGAGGGTGGGTTGTTTTAACATCACCCTGCTCTTTCTGCTGCGTGAGTTCTCCAATATTGTCTCTCCAAACAGAGCTGCTTTGTGTGGCCCAGTCACACACATCTGGTGGGCCAAGTCAGATAATTAGCTGTTAGAGTCAGTGTGTACACAAGTTTCTCTCACTCCCGCCTTGCTTTTCTTCAAAGAAGAAAAGAAGTCCTCTTGTCGTTTGTTATTAAGAATGTCTCAAAGCGAGGGCAAACACCCTGATATTCTGCACTCCAGCAAGTGAGCGAGTCTGGGGGACTTTTATGGCTTGTTGTAAATTGGTCTGTGAAGCAATTACAGCTTCACCACTGACTGGAGAGGACAAAAAACTGCTGTATTTAGTCTGATCAGTTTAATGGATGATTTTAAAAGAACTCATGGGAGACAAAGCCCTTCCGTTGCTGCTATTATGCCGTTATCTGTTTGCTCTATTACCAGGAGGTCTGCTGACATGCATAACTTCTTAGACAAGTCCGCTGTGAATTTTTATCATATATATTTAAACTGCCGTATAGTATTAGTATTTTTGTCATTAGTGGAGATTCAGAAGCTGCTTCGACAGATAAATGTTACACAAGATCAGCTGCACATCACTAAACAACGTTCTACTGCACAACGACATGTAACAATGCTAGTATTTAATGTATTTTTTTTAATGCATCTTCTAACCTTTCTCCACTCTGGAGATTCCTGTACCAGCACCGTGCCATGTCTGTTATTAAAGTAAGACTTGTTGCCATTTGGAGAAGGTTGCTGAGTGTAGCATATTAAACAAAACACAGTAAGGTGCTTCTAGTAGAAATATGATTAAAATGGGTGGAGCATTTGTTGCTTCATTTCTTATTTGCTGGAGTTGCAGTTGAGAATTTTTAGGTTAAATAGTATCAAAGCAACTGACTTGCTGCTTTAAACTATTTCAATTTACAGTTTTGATAAAGCAAAAGTAAAAGTGTTGGTAACTTCTACCAGGCACCTCTGACACAGAGAGCCTAGGGGATTTCATTTTGGCCTTTAAAGTTATTACCACTAGTGCTTGATTCTGGGTGCTTTCCCACGCAGAATTTTTTTCCAAAAAGCCCAGGACTATAATATAAACAATATTTATTTTTGGTTGAGAACTCTATAAGGGGACCCATGCAAGAATACCACAAGCACAGTGTTTGGTCTTTAAAACATTAAGTACAATTGTCTCCACAAACACAGTCTGTCAGACTTGCAAATTCATACTACAATATATATTCAGAGTAATATTTTGGGTGGAAAATTCATATTACAGGTAAACTTTTAGTGCTGATTTTTACTGATTTGTAAGCAGCATTTTCCTGTGGCTGTTTGTGTCAAAGCATCGATCTGCAGTGATCTACTCTCTTGCTGTACCTTGCGCCCGTTGTGCAGGAGGAGTAGGTAAAGTGCAGAGGTTTGAGGATGTGCTCCAACAGTGTGCTTGCCAGAGGGATAGAGGGAGCATCATTGTACTCCAGACTGGAAGGGAGCCTGTGATTTACAAGAATATACAGCGACCTGTAGTATCCTGATGAGATGAGACATAAAGAGAGAGAGAAATTAAGATTCAAAAAGTCATTTAAGGCACCAGTTCATTTTACAAAGCATCTCTGGTGTAAAAACTGAAGGATGTCAACAGTCCCCATTTGAATATTTCTCAATGTTGCAGCAAATACCCTTTAAAATAGTAGTGATTGTTAAATAATGTTCTAACAGCATAGAAAGACAAGCAATGATAATACCCAACATCAAATGAAACCCAGTACTCTACCTAAGCTTAAACACTTGTGAATGTAGCGCTGCCCACTTTTCCTGATTATTTAGGCGTCACAACATGCCTAAAACGAAACAAGACGCTTTGTGTTGACAAGCAGGAAAAATGTCAACAGTGCCATTGAAATGAGTCATACTTGTGGGAAAATGTAAATGCTATGAGATGCACTTGACCTGTGCACAACACTGTATACACTCAGGTACCAGTCACAGAAGGAACAGCCGAGTACAGATAAAATATACTCAAACACTTCAGACAAGTTGATATTGACACACATTATTCATTATCTCTGAACAACCATAACTCTTTGACAAGTTGTCCTCAAAAGGTTTATTTGCATCTGCGCTGCAGTAAACTGATGATTACAATTTGCAATTCAGAAATTAGTCTCAGTCTAAAAAACTCACAGCAAATACAACAATAAACAATAAATAAGTGATGCTAAATGTTAATTTCTCAAAAGAACAACATACTGTATATATATATCAATGCTTCTTAATACAAAATGTTAATCAATGTGTAATAAATCAGTACTTACCTTTCTGTACCATATAGTGCAAAATCTGCTCGAGTAATGAAGCTACATAGTTAGCATCTGGAATAACGGGAAGATAGGTTCTCTCTGAAGAAAAGATTTCTAGCATGCGCATGGGAACTGCAACATTTAAACTGTCGTCCATGCAGTTCTGAAGGATCCTGCGAGACAACAGACAGCAACGAGTGAGACAATGGCAACTTCAGCTTCTTCAAAAATCTGACAAGCTTATTGTGTGTTTATTGCATGTACCAGCTAATATTCATATTTTCCTAAGTACTGTACCTGCAGCAGAAGCCTAAGATCCTCTTGATCTGAAACATACATGTCTGCTTCTGTGGGCCCACCAACAGCTTTACAAACTGACTGTTGTGTTTCACCAGGTTCTGGCACAGCCATATCTAAAAACACACAAACACAGCTTTGGGAAATACACTAGGCTCTGTCACATAACAGTTACTGGTTATGAAAGATTTTGTGAAACAATAGATAGATTTGTAACTGAAAAGCATCAATGACAGTTTCCTTTCTTACCAATCTATGTGCATCCACACTCTGTCTGTAGAAAAATATGAGTCTTCTTGATAAGAGGCAGAGACCAGCACCATCCAAGACATGTTGAGCTCCCCCTGCCTGTGTCTGACTGACACACTCGTCAAACTTAGCCCTCTGAATGGCATACTGGGGAAGAAAGGACTAAAGGTCACATACTGCAGATACTTTGTTTGGCGTGTTTGAATAGTACTATAAACAGATGTACAGTAAAATCACATGTGCGTAAACAACTGGCTCAGCATGTGGGGGTTTCCTCACTGGGCTACTTGGGCCAAGTTTATATTTTTATTAGCTTAACTAGTATGAAAATAGTACCATCTCCTCAGAGGTGACACTACCACACAGCAATATGTTTTCCAAATAACAAAAAATAGGCTCTAAAATGAGATTATGAAACATGACAAAGTCTTAATCAATTTTTATACATCAGGTCAAGAAAATAGTCAGTGTTCAGATGTGTTGTTACTTATCTACTTTGCCAACACACAGGCTGTGGTTTGGATTTTCTTAGTATCACTGAATGTGTGTCTGTAGAACCAACGTGAAAAAAGTACTACAGAGAGAAGTTTAAGTCTCCCGAGAATTCCAGAGAAGCAAAAAGACTAATATCACAAGTAAAAAACAGCATGACTGTTTAATAAAGTAGCCCCATGCATTTGGAAAATCATTGTTGTAACATTGCTGGAAGACAGCAAAACAAACAAACCAAAAATCAGCCCCACAAGAGAGAAATATCTATCAACCGACTTTCTAATATGATGTCTATGCACCCTGTGCCAAAATCATAAATGTGCGCTGAAACAAAAGCTGAAGCTCAGACTTCTGAAGCTAAATACGTCCATTCCATTGACTGGAACTGCAAGAAAAGACACCAAAAACACAACACTTGCTCGACCATCAAACAGCCTGCTCCATCCAAAAGCCACGTTCATGTCACAGGGATTCATGTATGCTGACACACAATGCCACAGGAGTTACATATGGGCTCATATCTCACATATGCTATGTGAAGTTATGAAACAACATTCAGTGTCCAACAACCAACACTCTTAAATTAAAGCAGTTACCAACACAAACCTTTCAGACTGTATTATTTCTTGTCCCCATTTTATAAGCTGCTGTTTGACTCAACAACAGGACACTCACTATACAGTCATACCGGTAATTCTGAAGGCAATGAACCAAAAAAAATAATGAACAACAACTGCAAACATACTTGTTGTTTCAAGTCCTGGTAGCCACGTATGTAGGACTGAATGATGATGGCATTCTTCAGTCTTTTTCTTTCATCCTAAGTGACAAACGAAAGCACAGATTTAAGCAACTGGTAAATTCATGACAACAGTGACCAGTCTTTTCACTTAATAACTGACAGTTAACTGTAGACGATTATAGAGAAATATAAACACACATATAAAGACACATTACCTCTCTTTTCCGTCTTTCCTCTTGAGTGCGGTGCAGCAGAGATGCTTTCTCCTCCTGAAACGCAACAGAGACAAACATATCATGAAAACACATCGAACAACAGCAAGCTTTAGGATTCCTACTGTACCTACATATGTGGAAAAAAATGAACTATTTATCGTTGTTAAAAATAGCAGACGTGTTTCCATTGCCTTGTTACTGATTCAGTTCCTTCCATGTTACCTGCTGACAGTCAAATGACACTCACCTTCTTGCTGGCTCCTCCAAGAGATACCTTGGGTCTTGTCTTGAAATCTCCCTCAAAGCTAAACATTGTTAGATTTTTCCCATTGACTGATTCAGACGTTGCCACCGATTTCTAAAAGAGAAAATGAAACGAAAATGAACCCCGAGTTCTACAATAATAGCTAACAGCAATGACGAACTGAAACCAAAACCTCCTGACGATTCGTGACTTGGCTGTAACTTATGAAGAGCTAACTTCAGCTAACAGCTTCTCTGACATTATAGCACATTGCTACGTTGCGCAATTTTAAACTAGGTGGCCAGATAAAACAGTTTTGAACACCAGCGTGGACAACTATTCAACGACTAGTCAGGAGGTTAACTTCAGCTCTGTACCTGGCTGATAGTTTCAGTTGGGTGGCAACAATAGTTAGCTAGCCGGTTAACTTAGCTAGCTAATGACTCAGCAGCTGTCAAGGGCTAAACAAGGCTGTTTTCGAAATCCGACACCAAGCAGCAATGTAGACACTAAACTACAAATCATGTATTGATGATATGTCGCAGCACAGATTCATATATGTGTAAATAGCATGGTTATGTTGACGTTAGCACTGCAGCTAACTAGCAGTGCAGCTAAGCACTCAGACAGGCTAACTTTACGGGGGGTGTCTTCCTATCCGCATGTCCTTTTTGACATCGTTTTTATACAGGACACACATCTGAGAAACATATATCAACAACCGTTTACCTTTCACTTTTGAATTAAGGGCTGAAACAGACACAATATGACTGAGAAGGCTGCTTAGGTTATTCCAAACGTCAAGTCTTCTTTTCCTCCTCTTTCTAGAAATCAACACAACACAGAGAACAGGCAACTGAACTACATCCGGGTCCTGGAAAGCCGCGCAGCTGATTGGACAGAATTCATGTCAATCACAGCTTGAGCCCGCCTCTCCATTAGATCCATTGAGAAGGGTATCTGATCAGTGTGTATGTAGGAAAGTATGTAGAGCATTTTATGCAATTAGAAGAACATCTTTACAAAACAGACATACCAGAAAGAATTTGAACTAACTACAATATGTGGCAGTATAATCCAATCAATTGTCTTCTACACTCTGAAAAGTAGGGTTCAAGGGACCTAATTCCACCAATTAAGTGCATTGATGCAGAATAAAAACTAATAAAAAATAAAAAAAATCTAATTTAGATCAACATTTCAAGTTGCAAGCATTATTTTGTACAAAGTAATATTGGTAATTGCATCAACTCATTATTGTGTGCAATATAGATCAAAGTCCTGCATTAGTTAATTTCAAACTAAATCCAAGTTTGAGTAAAATTGGCTTAATAACTTAATATTTCTTCACTGTGAATTCAGGGTTTCTAGCCCCCTCCCTTATCTGAGCATGCCTAGACAATTTTAAAATGGTCAATACTGGTAATTTAAAATACATCTGATTGTAGAGGAATAATTAATTTTCTAAACTCACTGTAGTATGTTGGTTAAACATAGTTTAATTAGAAGTTACTTCAAAAACTTGATGCAAACTGTTGCATTATTCATTTTTTTTTGTTGAAGAGTCCCATCAGTCACGAGGACTACACTTGATAAGACAAGCATGCAATAGAATTCTGCAGATCCATATTAAACATCCAAAGAAAAACACCAACCAATGCATACAAGGCAGAATTAGGCCACTGAATATTACAGAAGTCTATTTAAAGTTGTGGCTACTAACAGAAGAATGTTCATGTCACTGTTTAACAGGTGAGGTAGAGACAGAAATGTGGCATACAACGTTATGACAGGATTTCTTTAAAAACTTTAACTCATCAATCCCACACTTCACAGAACTAGATGACAACAACAAGCAACAGATTCTGTTAGGAGAGGAACAGGCAACATACTCACCTGCACAATATGTGACTCCATGTCGGAAATTGAGAGACGCAGATTTGAAAATGACAGAATATGACAATCATCTTAACAAAAACCTACAATACACATGGCACACGTACAACATATATTTACTGTTAGGCATCTTTTGGCCATTCTCTTGATCTTTTTTGTCATCTTAATTAATTCCTATATTTCACTTAGTAAATTGTGTGGGTTTTTTAAAATTCTTTTTTAATATCTTTTTTGGAATTTCGCCCTACTTGATGCTTTCACAATATTGTTATTCTGATTCATGCCAGTAAAGCAAACTGAATTGCAAATTGTTTGTGTGTGTGCGTGTGTGTGTTATGCAAAGCAAACACACAAAAAGCTTTTTGGCAAGAAGAATCAAACTGTTTTTGAGTGGTTATGTTGCTTTGACATCACTGGAACATTGCTGCTTATATTAATTAGTAGTCTGTATATGTATATGTATTCATATATGCTTGTTGGGTTACTGGTGTAGTAGAAGTAATTTTTCAAATACTACATATGTATATACTACATATCAAATACTACATTCAGCAATTTCCCTGAGGTTTCCACCACAGGGATCAATAAAGTTCTATTCTATTCTATATGTGCAAAAACATTCTATTCTTCTCAAAGTGTGCTTGAAGCAAGTGTATGTGGGGTTACAATCAAAGGAATATACAATAACTTGTCAGTTTATTAGTGATCGTTTTGGAAGGTGACACCGTTTAAAAATGAGCTTTTATTGAAATCATTTAGTGGTTGTCAAAGAACTGCAGAAATCCAAATGATCATTTTTCTGAGAACTTTAATGACTTCTCATTTACATTCAATTCAAAGCTGAGAGTCATCGTTTAATCTTGACTTTGTGAACAGCCATACTGTATGATAATGTATTGTTATATTAGTAAACATCCAGCATACTTAGCAGTGCTGGATGGAGAAAGCTGGATATCAATCACAGGGTAAAAGTTTTGATATACCACATTTCATTATTAGTCCAAAAGGCCTCTGGTGACCTCACGCAAATATTAATTCATGCAGGTTTTAGCTTTAGCTTTCCTGAATATTAGTGTGATATCTGTATCCTGGGAATTGCAATAAATTGGTTTTAATTTAATTTAAACAGAAACATACATTTATAAATTGAACAGGATAATCCATGATGTATGTGGATATGTTCGTCTCCTCAGCTTGTCACAGGAGAAGCACATTTACATAATAATGACTCAGTTCCCAATGAGCCAAGTCCCTGGAGCTGGATTCACTGAGTGGATCCTTATTAATTTGTATTTTTCTGTGATTGCACGTGTCAAAATGTCGGCTGTAAAAAATGCCCACTACATGTGGTGTACCTCAAGGTTTATTCTCTGGACCAATTATATTCTACCTCTTATATAAAGAGAGCAAGCTATCTGCTGCTAGTGCATCGCTGATCATGTACAGTTTTGGGTTTTAGTCCAGGAGAGTTGTGAAATGCTTTTTTAAAAACCCTGTTAGTTCCAATTTTTATGCTTGATGGATTGATTTACCTTGTCCGGTTTGTTTCTGTTATGTTTTGTGCAAACAGAAAATTATAACAACAATATTATCATAAAATCATTCATCTGTCTTTATTTTGAAGCATGTATTTTTTGTTTGGAAAACGGACACAAATATTTCACACATGAAGATGATAATAAATGACAGATGTATTTCTATTCCTCTTGCTGTTCATATTGTACCTGCTTGACCTCTCACGTCTTCTATTGTTACCTTTGTAAACATCCTTACCCAAAAAGAAAAAAATGTTTCTGAAAAGGTTTTGCTCTAATTTTTTGAACAGTTTACTGTTAACATACAGATTTTGTCTGTTTTCTTGAATTACAGATAGTCACTAGTAATATCACTGGAAAAAAAAGTATGAATTTAATGTTGACTGTAAACAAACAAAGCAAACAGTCCAGAACTGTACATTATGTCCACACCCAGAAATCAGTATTTTCTACAAATAGTCATTTGTTATTCTAAATTAGTGACTGTAAAATTACACAGTTTAATTCAGCTTAGAATATCTCTATTTTATAGATTTTTGCTTCTTTTTGCACAGTTTCTATGGTTTTTAAATATTATAGTATGTCCCAGTTTTTTAACCTATTTTTTCTGATACGCTTGCAGCCAGATGACCACAGTTTTAAAAGGACTTTCATTATTTTTATTTATTTTAGTTTTACAGTGTATTCAAACTATATTGACATGCACAGTCTGGTAAAATGTAATCAAATACAACAGCCTTAGCCTAGAGAAAGCCTAACATTAATAATAATTACATTATTAACCTTCTTATATGAAGGGTCTTTGAAAAAAGAAAAAAAAAAAGGCACTCCAGTCCTGTACTAGACTATTATGAATTCATAACTTTCTAATTGACAGAAAGTGAAAACAATAAGCTTCAGTACACTCCAGCTTTTATGATCATCATTGTAACACTATATTATAAGTGACCTGATTCCTGTTGTACAGAGCGACGAGCAGAAACCTCCCCAGTCTATGTATCAGGTGTCCAAGTTAATCACTGCCTGGTGTTTCTACTGGGAGGCATTGGCTTCTGTGGAACGAAAATGCAAATGCAAGGTTGCATGCAGGGACTTAAAAATGTGAAATGTTTAACTTTCAGAAGAGTGCATCTTCCAATGATGTGAAAAGTGATAGAAATGAAGGAGTTCACATCTGTACTATTAAATAAATCACATTTGTGTTTACATGACTATATAGCACATAACATACTCCAATACTTAGTCTCTCTCTTTTTTTGTAAAAATAAATAAATAAATACAAATAAATGAATAAATTAATTCAAATCTATCCCTTTGTTTTCTTTATGTTTTCCCACATATATTTATTATGTTGGAAAACCTTTTACACAGCATCTTCTAATATTAAGTAGACTTACTAGTTTGCTGTATGTTCATTAGATTTTTCCCACAAGAGGTGCTGCAATACTGATTATCATATCATATTTAGATTTTGTAGATATATATTTACTGGTTGTGCAGTATATTATTATTAGCAGTAGTAGTATTGTCCTCTGAGCACATGTTGCCAACAAACTGATGACTGGTATCTTTGGGCTGATTCACTGAACGAACAGAGACTTTAAAAGCTTGAACATGAAAAGCAGGTAAATGGTTTCATCAATAACATCTGAATGGGGCCTATGTTTAATAATGTGGGCTTGTGCCTCCATTCAAAAGGGACTGATAACGAGGGAAATTAACCTGCAATATCGAATTACATAAAGACTTTGGGCTCTTGATGTTATTTTCAGTCTTTTCCTCCATTTGTATGATCCCATATGATATTGACATCGACATTAAGGGTTTTATCTGACAGAAATTAGGAAGCCCAAGGGATGCAGAACCGAAAAAATCTTAGAAAAAAAAATGATCATGAGCCAGAAATGTTTTTAAAAGCAGTTTTCTATATTTCATTTGTGCCAGTTGAAGCGGATGCAGCCTATTTATTGCATTAAAAGAGACAGTGCAGGTCCCTTTAAACTGCCTTTTCATAATGAACGCATTTACCCAGGGTAATTAATATATAAACTATCCCGATTTGTCACTTTGATTTGTATTTTAGTTAATTGTGAAAGTAATTACGGAGCAAATTAACAGCTTTCAGGAAAGAAAAGGGTTTTAGGGTCCGGTTCCATCTTGGGCGCCTTATTAATTTTCTCTCTCCTAGATGTGATGAAAAGGAGCGATAAATCTGGGTGATCGGCGAAGGCCAATACTAAATGGCTCCATATTTCACCGTAGCTTTAATAGAAATATTCATGTGGGCCCCTTAATGAAATTAAACCCGCGGTGGGGACAAGGCGCAGCTCGGGTGTGGCGATCAGGAGTTACAATAATCATGCAGCAGGGCTGATAAAATGCGTTTAATTGATGAGGGAAAGGAACACTCGTG